GCGCGGTTCTTGTGTTCGATCAGGAAACACGTTCGCGCTACTTGCTGATTTCCTTTGAGAGTGAAAATTCCTTTTTGAGTGGGAAACTTGACGCACTGGTGATAAGTGGATGCGACGGCCTGCATTTGATGAAGCCACGGCGTCCCCAAGATTACGTTGTATATCGCCGGTTTATCGATAACAATGAATTTCACCCAGGCGATCGTACCACCAACGAATGTGGGAAGTTTGATGGTGCCTAAGGACATGATGAAGTCACCGTCGAATCCGGCTAAAGGTCGGGAGCGCGGCTTTATACGTCGGTCGGCTACATTCATCGCGGTGAGAGTATCTTTAAAAATTAGGTCGACTGAGCTGCCCGTATCGATCATAACGCGCGTGATTCGGCTATCGCTGACGATTAGCTCGACGACCAGGGGGTCGTTGTGAGTTAGGTCGATTCCGACGAGGTCTTCTTTTGTGAAAGAAATGGGTTCGATTTTCTCGGAAGGTTGGCTCGGCGTTACTGGCCACGTCTCCATCATTTCGGCTTTCTTTCGGTACTGCTTGATTGAACGGACCGAATCGTTGCAATTTTGAAGGCCGCCCATGATCATATGGATTTGTCGGACGACGATGGGAGCGTCGGCGACAGCTTTGCCTTGGCGCTGTCTTTTGGCCGAATCGTTTGCTTGATCGTCGCCTCCAGCTGCTCCGTCGGCTCGATCCTGGAGAAATTGCCGAGCAGTGGCCTTGTTCCGTTTTTGGTTTTTATTACCCCCTTGGGCTCGGTCACATTCGATTGCGATTCCCCCGCTCTTGTACTTAGCCATGAGGAGCCCTTGCAGGTAGCGGCAATCCTCCGTCGCGTGGGCCTTGCTTTTATGATACTCGCAATATACTGTCCCTGTTACAACGTCGTCGGTGTCTCTCGCCCATTTATTCCAAGGTTTGGGCGCCGACCCTTCACCATTTATGGCGAACGTGGCCGGCTTTCTACTTTGGCTAACGTTGCGGTCTAGATGTTGTCTTGGCTCTGCTGGTTTTACCACAGGAGCTTCTTTTGGTGCCGAAGCCTTGGTTACACCGTACTTTCGTGAGAGGATGAGCCGCTCTTCCTCTAACTCGATGTACCTCGTCGCTCTATGGAGCGCATCTTCGAGCGTGTTTGGTACGTGCAGCATGATATCGTTCCTAAATCTTGAATCATACCACACCGAGTTGCGCAGGGCTACGATCGCGGCTTCGTCTGGAATGACGATTCGGGTGATGACGTCTTTAAAGCGATCGATAAATAGTCGGAGGGACTCCGTGGGTCCTTGCGAGAGGGACCAGAGGTCGGCATTGGACGTCTGGTTCTGTGTGAGCGGCGAGTAATGCTTGAGGAACGTTACGGACAGTTCACGATAGCTGCTGATCGAGTTCGGCTTAAGTTTTGAAAACCATTTGAGGGCGGCGCCGGTTAGATGTTCGGTGAAAATCTGGCATTGTCCTGCTTCGAAATTTTCATTGGTTAGTTCGGTGCGGTTGATTGCGATGCTAAACGACGTCAGGAATTCTTTTGGATCACCCTTCCCACTGTAGGGCTCGAGCTTAATCTTCTGGCGCCCTCGAAGTGAGACACTGGTTATCCTCCGAGTGAAAGGAGTTTGCTGCGTTTCTTCCAGGACGCGGTCAAGTTCTGGTGCGGCGCTTGTGGCCTTGTGAACCTTTGCGTTCAGGTCTTGAACAATGCGTCGTAGTTCGGCGAGCTCTTGGCCCTGGGCACTTTCGCTTGACGAAGCAACATGTTGAATTTTCCGAGCCGGTCCTTGGTTTCTTTGCGCGGGTCGGACAACCTGTGCCTGACTTGCGTTTAGGCGGTTGATTTCGTCCTGAGCGCACGCCTGGGCTGCTGCCAAAGACTCGAGTCGCACGTTCGTTCTTGCCTCTTGCTGGCTCAGATGTGTGAGAATGTTTTGGAGCAGGTCGTCTGGTTCGCTGCGGTCCTGAATCCTTTGGTTTACCCCGGCTCTGGCGCTGACCTGCAGGTTCGCCGCGTTACGTCCGTTCGTCAGGAAGTGGAGCTGGGTGCGGTCTTGTAGCTGCCGCGGTTGGTCCTTCCGGCGTCGGGGGTAGCGAAGGCGGTGCGGCTGCGGGCGTGCATGCTTCTCCTCCCGAGCTGGAGGCACTTGTGCCGAGTGCGTTGTGGAATGCGTCTGTCATCTTTGCTGTTTCGTCGGTTCGTAGTTATGAGAGAAATCTTCGAGCTTCTCCCCTACCTGGCGTGCCAACTGTTGATCCTCAAAATCACACAAGTACGTATTCGGAGTCTTAAGGGTGAAAGAAGAATCTCTTATTTAATGACGAGCCGACGGTTACAAAAATAGACGAGCTAAAAACTGAGTATACGAGCCGAGCCGCAAAGTGCTCTGACGGTTGTACGAAATTCTCTGTGAAAGCGGTTATTTCGGAATCCCTTCCAATCATTTTCTTTTTTCTATTTATAGGGTACAGGGAGTAGGGTACCCTATGTGTGCGAAATGTCTTTTTTACCCTTTAGTTGGTGGAGGGATTTTGCTGGGCCTTCCTTGGGCTTCTGAGAATTGTGAGCCCGTCAAAGGGTTTTGGGCTTGAGCCCAAAACCTACCATCAACATTGAAGCAGATTAAATCATCATCAAAAGTCATAACCGGAGCAAGACCTACCTTTAAAATGATTACAAAATTTGTGATATTATTGCAATCAACATAAATATGAGCTTTTTCAAACTCGAAATGATTAGAAGAAAAATGTTATCAGCTTGTATGAAGCAAACCTTTTGAATTATCACCAAAAGTCATTACAAGAGCAAGAGCCGCCTTTAAAATGATGAAATCGGGAACGGTCTCTAACAATCACGACACGATCATAAACATCAGATACAAACTTTGCAAAATTATGACAATCAACACAAGTTCTGAGATTCTTGGTCACTCTAATGGTTGTTTCTGGTGGAGTCACCAGAATCCCAAAGGCTATAGCTAGCTTCTCGCTATGGTATCTCAACGCATATCCCTTTTCTTCTTCTGAATCAAGATTGTGCAGTTCCGATGTGATTTCCGCCACATAACCCGCAATCTTCAGCTGCTGATTGATTTCCGCCAGCATTTTGTAGATTTCTTCCTTCCGCGGATGCGAAACATCGTCTACTATAAACTCATGAACGGTTCCTTGTAGCTCGATTGCGCTGCATCCGGGATTGGTCTGGATTCTTTTCTTCTTCATTAAAGAACGCAATTCAGTAACTTTCTCCCATTTCCCAACCGATGAGTATGTGTTGAGTAACAGAACGTAATCTCCAGCTTCTTCGGCTTTGAATTCGATAAGATGAGCGATCACACGTTCCCCAAGTTCCACATTTCCATGGACTCTACAAGCCCCGAGCAGCGTACGCCAAATAGTAGAGTCCGGTTTCATCTCCATTGACTTAATGAGACTGTAAGCTTTATCAAGTAGACGAGCACGTCCCAAGAGGTCAACGATGCAGCCATAGTGATGTAAATTTGGCTTTATCTTGAATTCACCGCTCCTCATTCTATCGAAAAACATCATTCCTTCATCGACCAGCCCGGAATGGCTACAGGCAGACAATAAACCCGTGAGTGTCTGTTCCTCTGGAGAGATTCCAAACTTCAACATTTCGTTGAAAGCTTCAATGGCTTCTTTTCCAAACCCATTCATGGCTAAACCCGAGATCATAGCCGTCCATGAGACTACGTTTCTTTCACGCATTCGATTAAAAACTTCGTAAGCTTTATCCATAGACCCGCAACGTGAGTACATTGAAACCAAAGTGTTACTCAAATTCAAAGCACCACTGAGTCCGTTTTCATCGATAAAGTCATGAACTTGTTTACCAAAATCCAACGCCCCCAAGTTAGCGCAAGCTTGTAAAGCTAACAAGCATGTTACATTGTCTGGTTTTACACACCTATCGACATCGTTCTTCATCTTATCAAACAAAACCAAAACATCTCTCGTACGTTTGTTCCGGAGATAACACGAAATCAACACGTTCCAAGAAACAGTATCTCTTTGGGGAATTTCGTCGAACACTTTACATGCATCAGTACTGTTTTCACAAGTTGAGTAAAGATCCATCAGAGTCGTCATAAGAAGACTATCCGAGAGAAACCCATCACTGAAAATCTTACCGTGAATTTGCAAACCACCGAGTAAGTCACCTGATTTGATACAACACTTGAGAGCAAAAGAAGACGAGAGTGGATTAGCAGGAAAAGAGATGTTTCGTCTAAGAGCACGAAACAAGCGAAACCCTTCGCATGGAGTTTGGCTGAGAGAGAAAGCTCTGATCATGGTGTTGCAGTGAGAGAGAGTTGGGTTCAATCTCTGGGAGAAAACTCGGCATGAGTAATTGATGTCTCGAGGAATGAGAGAGAGAGCGAGACGAGAGAAGAAATGGTGGAAAACGTCAGAGTTTCTGATTAAGGAAGTGCGGAGTAAGACGGCGTGAATCTGCCGGAGATGGAGTTTTCCGGTGGAAGATACGATCAGAGAAAGAAGGTGATCGTCGCTGCTGCTTATGGACTTCAACATAGTCTTTTGGTGAAGAAAGCACTAAGCTTTGAGTTTACTCTGTTTTCATTTACTCTGTTTTAATATTTGAACTCTGTTTTAATTATACTCCACTGTAACACGTCTTGTATAAATCCTCACATTATAAATGAATTTCACATTTAAACAAAAATAAAAAATAAAAAATAAAGTTTCCTTTAAAAAGTTTTACTTATTTTTTTTTAAATGCACATAACTAACTTTTACATTCAATAAAAAAAAAAATTAGTTATGAGCATTTCAAAAAATCATCTCTAATTTATTATATATGACAACTTAAAAAAAGTACGTAATACAAATAAAATATAAAATAATAAAGTGATAAAAAATATTTAGCTAAAGTTACTAAGCAGAATTAAGGTAGGCAAAATTATTATTTTGTGAAGTCACATAAAAATTTACTATTGTATATTATAAGAAAAAAATTGATATATAAATTCTCTTCAAATTTATTAGTTAATATTTTGTTCGACAGTTCTTCCAACATCCTTCGATGGTATACATTATCAGGTCTTGAGAGTTTGTGCAGACGAAATGATCTCCTTGTGGTTTGCATGGTGGTTGTCCTACCTTTCTTCCTGTGATAGGATTTGTCAATGGCTTGTCATCTTTGAAAAAATTACCTATTTATTAAAAAGACATCAAAGATTTTAAAATATACTACATATAATATTGGTAACTAATGATGTTTAATAATGGGCAAAACGTAAAATACTGTTTATGACATACATTCATAAAGATTAGCCAGTGAAATGAGGATGATACAAACTACGGCAATTTTCGATGACGGCATCGTAATTTTTTTCTTTAAAGAAACGTTTTATTGTTTTATGGTAGAAAACCTTACATGTAATCATATATATATGTCTCCAACTATTTTTGTAAGGTGTTCCTAAAAAAGATGTACTTTAATTCGTTTGGCTAGTTTTATTTCCTTTAAATTCTAGAAATTGATGTTTAAGAGTTAATTACTCGTTTTCGAAGATCTCCAAATAGTATATTTGAGAATTTCTAAGAATTAGAAATTTTTAGCCATTGGTTTAGATTTACGGTCGTTATAATTGGTTATATAAATATTATCATTTTGTTATAAGAAGAGGATGTTCAAAATCCAAGCTTCATTCAAGAAAAGACAAATTCAATAAGCAATAAATATATTCATTTGCAAACAGACATGCTGCTAACTAGATCGTGATTTCACTTAAATTTAAAAACTTTTTTCGCAGAAAATAATACTTCCTCTGTTCCATTTTATTAAATGTTTGGACTAAAAGCACGGAGATTAAGAAACAATAAATGTTTTCTCATTTATGAAAATTCAACCAATAGAAAAAGATACTGCATAATTAAAATAATTAAAAACTATTAAACTAATATAAATCATGCATTAAAAGTAGAGAAAATCGTATATAATGAAACAAATGAAACGGTCTAAAACATCTTATATATTGGGACAGAGGGAGTAACAGATTTCTTCAGATTTTTCGAGTTTTTTTATATCGGCGAGACATTTTCGTGTTGTAGAATAAAAAATGTATTAGCTTCATTTTGAAGAATTTGGAACATGGCATTGAAGCAGAATTTATAAATCATCACCAAAAATCATTACATGAGCAAGACACACCTTTAAAATGATGACAACATGAAAGGTCGTTGTGATCTTCAGACAAGCTAATAACAATTTTCTTCTAATGTTAGTCGTTTCAATGTTTTTTTTTTTTTTTTTTTGTCTTTCTTGCATTAGCCAGACATTTCTTGTTGTACAATAAATAATACAGAATATCACCATTATTATCTATGCAAATTTAAATTTTCAAAACGAATGTACAGTTGTTAGTATCATTGTTTGTAAATAATTATTTTAACTCTTAAGGTTTTTTGACAAAAGTCATAGCGATTCACAACTGTCAAACAACGGGAGATCGTATGTCGAGCTAGAATGTTGGGGCTAACACGGCAAGACATACATTTACTTATCTTGCATATATATACAACTGAGGTATGGGGAAATATAGCACAACAATTACTCAAGAATCGTTTCACCACTAGTTGGAACAATCTTCTCCCACTACTCTCCGACACCACCTTTGGAAGAACATATTTGTTCTAGCTCCGGTACGTTTCCAAGCTTCAATCCACTGCATATAGAGAGAGCGGAATGCTCGTTCCCATGGAGACACTACCACATCGGCACCTAGACTAATCAAACTTCTCGACAAACAAGTTGGCAACAGTATCTCCTCCATCAGTGACCTTCATGGACGCAAGTATGATGGATCTTTTTACCAAAAAAAAAAAAAGTATGATGGATCACTTTAAGTATGGTTTGCATCAAGAACATTATTTTCCTCTAATCCTTTTCAAAAAATAAAAATAGATGTAAAAACCACTTTTTTGGGGTTTTGAATAACTTTTACATTCAATTAAAAAAAAAGTTAGTTATGAGCAAAAAATTTCAAAAAATCATCTCTAATTTATTATATATGACAACTTGAAAAAATGAATAAAGTTAACGTACATAATACAAATAAAATATAAAATAATAAAGAGAGAAAAAAAAATATTTAGTGTTGTGTATTGCATAGACATTTAAAGTTACTAAGCAGAATTAAGGTAGGCACAATTATTTGTAGTGAAGTCACATGAAAATTTACTATTTTTTATTATAAGGAAAAAATTGGTATATAAATTCTCTTCAAATTTATTAGTTAATTAGTTTGTTTGACAGTACTAATTCCAGCATCCTTCGATGGTATATACTATCAGGTCTTGAATGTTTGTGCAGACGAAATGATCTCCTCGTGGTTTGCATGGTGGTTATACCTTTCTTCTTGTGCTATGATTTGTCAATGGCTTGTCATCTTTGGAAAAATTGCCTATTTATTAAAAAGAGATAAAAGATCTCAATATACTACATATAATATTGGTAACTAATGATGTTTAATAATGGGCAAAACGGAAACTGCTGTATATGACATACATTCATGAAGATTAGCGAGTGAAATGAGGATGATACAAACTACCGCAATTTTTGATGGCGACATCGTAATTTTTTTCTTTAAAGAATCGTTTTATTGTTTTATGGTAGAAAACCTTACATGTAAAGTAATCAAATATATATATGTCTCCAACTATTTTTGTAGGGTGTTCCTAAAAAAGCTGTTTTTAAATTCGTTGGCTATTTTGATTTCCTTTATATTCAAGGAAATTGATGTTTAAGAGTTAATTACTCGTTTTCGAGGATCTCCAAATAATCAATATTTGAAGACTTATAAGAGTTAGAGATTTTTAGCCATTGGTTTAGATTTACGGTCGTTATAATTGGTTATGTAAATATTAGTATCATTTTGTTATAAGAAGAGGTACATGTTCAAAATCCAAACTTCATTCCAGAAAAAAAAAAGACAGATGCAATAAGCAAGATTGCGCTCACATAACCTAAAACTAATAACAAGAACTTTACACAAACAAGCAAATACATTAGCATAGCATGAGAGTGTTTTAAATGCTTAAGTCGATTAGAAATAGTCTAACCATAACGAAACATATCATCCTTGAAGAACGTATTACAGGTTTTAAGAGTACCAGAATCATTATTAGAATCATACACCTAATTGTAATTCTTCTTGTAACCAAATCTTACAATCAATATAATTATGGGAGTTTCATCAATTATCCACAAAACATTATAGTACTAAGCTACGTAAGCTGATTATGAGTTTTACTATTGTCATCTTTAGAACTCCAAGTTCCAGATCCTTGTTCTAGACAATTGGGTGTAAGAAAAAAATGCAAACTTTGGAGTACAAGCAAATGTGCAATCTGTGGAACCCAAATGTCTTACTTTATTCGTTTGAACCCAGCCTGACCCGAACCGACCGTTTACTTTATCCAATCATGCATGGATGTCAGGGATTCAAAAGAAGGTGAAGAACATTGTGTCTATGTCCATAACATCTAAGAGATATAACATTGATAGTTATATCTTACTAGACCTAGATAAAGTATTAAATGATGTCTACTACTCTTTTCGACCAGTTTATGCTGATTAAGAACATGAAGGAATTGGTGAAAAACCTCAATGCTATGGCTACATATATTTATGCTAATATTAGCTTTACTTGTATTCCGCTTTTTCTTATTAAGCGGAATACAAGTAAAGCTACGACTTCATTGTTGTTGATCTCGATCACGGGGCTGGCGGAATTTGAGAGGCACTCAATTGCATTCGCACTGTTGAGGTTATTAATAAACTAAATGTTTTCCTTCAAAAGTGTGTAATCTTTTGTGTGTTCTTATCAATACAAGTTTATTGGTGTGACTCCTTAGCCTTGGTTGATTACGTTCTAGTGTGTTTGTGAGACTCAAACATACTGGTTTGTGTGTTATTGTGTGATTCAACGACAAATCACCATTCCATCTCCATCATTGTCCCATCGATCCATCTCAAGCCGTAAGCCTTACCCAGAAGCATAAATCTAAGATAACAGTTTTCTAAGTTCTTACCTTGTTTATTAACTTACTAATATTTACTGAGATAAGAACTTTCAAACAGTGTAAACTATGGGTGTTCAATCCGGAGTAAGTATTCTGATCAAGTTATGTGAAACATTAATATTCAGCAAGTGTCAAATTTAATTTTGTTAGCTTAGATTTTAGGGTCGATCCAATGAAAACTAACTTGTCGCTGCTGCTTATGGACTTCAACATAGTCTTTGGTGAAGAAAGCACTAAGCGTTGATAAAATAAAGTTTTAAAAGTTTTACTGGTTTTATTTGATTAAGTATTAAACCTTGAAGTTTTGATTTCATCAATAATTAACTCACAAAATTTAACATCTGGTTAAGTAAGAATCATTTTAAAGGTGTGTCTTGCTCATCTAAAGTTATGGATATGTAAATTAGATCATTTACTGATTTATTAGAATATCAAAACAGAAGGTTCATCTCAAAAAAGACAAATGCAAGAATAAAGAATTCTTTTCATAAAACTTATAATAACAATTTTGCACCAAACAATCAAATACATTAGCATACAATAAGAATGTTTTAACTGCTTGAGCCGACTTGAATAGTCTAACCATAACAAAAAAAATATCATCCGTGAAGAGCGTAACACAATTCCTAAGAGTAGCAAATCAATGGTCCATTCCCACGATATCTCAAAAAGCAATAAGAAGCGAAACACACTCTATCTTAAGGTTTTTTTTTTTTTGACACAAGCCATAACAAAATTGATTATGAACAAAAGAATTTTAAAGAAGACTTCTCATTAATAATATATGATTATTAAAAACGAATAATGTTGACAAAAATAACATGAATAGCAAATAAACAAAAGAGAAAACGAGAAGAAAATTTGTAGTATTGTTCACACAAACTTTCAAAGTTACTAAAAAAACTAATGTAAACGTAATTGAGGTTAGTGAAGTCACATGAATATTCAAATTTGTGGTATATATATGCTCTTCAAATTTCTTCAATCTTTAAAGGAGGTGCTGGGTTAATTAGGGTGCGATACAGTCCCTCCAACAATCGGGGCCGGTTTTTGCTATCCTGTTCGGATTATTTGTGCATACGAAATAATCTGACATTGGTTTGCATGGTGGTTTCCCTGTCCTCTGTCCTGTAACGGGATTTGTTAATGGCTTGTCATCTTTAAAAACTTTATCTAGAAAACCTGAAAAAAAAAATAAACAATAAAATATTTAAAAAGACTATATATGGAAGAAATGATTATGATTATAATCGTAATTATAAACAAAACCTAAACTATATATGACATACAATCATGAAGACTAGCGAGTGAAACGAGGATGATACAAAAGATAACAAGTTTGGATGACGGCATTGTGCTTTTTCTTTCCAAAGTAACCTTTTTGTTATTTGATGGTATAGAAGCTTACACATTAACATATATAGAACTCTATTAGTACAAATTTTTGTAGGGTGATCCCAAAAAAACTGTCTTTAAATTTGTTTGGCTACTTTTATCTCCTTTCTATTTTTGAATTTATTGATGTTTAAGTCAGTAATTGAATATTAGAGATTTGTAGCCATTGCTAGCTTTTAAATTTTACAGTCGTTATAAGTTATGTAAATATTGTTCTTTTTGCATAAGAAATTATTGATGTTTAAGTCAGTAATTGAATATTAGAGATTTGTAGCCATTGCTAGCTTTTAAATTTTACAGTCGTTATAAGTTATGTAAATATTGTTATTTTTGCATAAGAAGAGAGAACAAAGTTTTCACATCTAATGTTAAATCGTTTTGCCTGTGTAAATATCTATCTTCACATATGTATTATTATTATAGAGGAAAAATGGAATGATTTACATTTCTATAAATGAATTTATAAAAACTCATGCGTATATTATATGGCACTTTGTAAACTAACATAATTTAGAATCATATGTATAAAATTACCAACCTTTTACCATCATGAGACTTTTTAATTTTTTGGTAAATAATTTTCAAACCTTTGTAAGATTATATGCATCCTTGAACTTTGATTGTTTGAAATACTTTCTTTTGCTATCTCATAGTACCAAGGAATTTAATAATGTAGGGTACTGCATTTTACTTTTATGAGTTTTATCTTGAACAATGAGGTAGTCGTAGTTGCCTAGTTGGTGAGCTGAAACTGGACTAAAAAGGTCTACACTAATTTTGTAAGCTTCTGTCGTTGATTTTTTAAGTCAACCATGAGAACATTTTCTTTTGGTCCACGCACCGAAATTTCCAGCCGCCGGCTTTAATTACCCAATGATCTTTCATAACTTGGCTTGCTATTTTGGATCGGAAGTGATTGGTTTCTACTTTTTATACTATTATATAACCTTTGTTTTTTTTTCCCTAAACTCAAACGATGTTGTTTTGAGTTTGTGTGCCACAAACAGAACGTACATAGATTCTGAACCTATGTTGCATGGAAACGGGAGCGGGTACGCGGAAACGGAATCGTTTAGAAGCGCTGAAGCGATTTTTTAGAAAATTTTACGGAAGCGGTACGCGATGGAAGCGTATAGTATATATAAAGAATATATATATATGTATATATATATAACTAAATATTAAACATTATATCATATTACAAGTTATATTAACCCCATAAATCTAATAAATAAATTTTAAAAACTAAATTTAAAAATTAAACCAATTTTTACAACAAACAAAATCAAATAATTCAAGAAAAAAATTATAACACTATATTCATTCTTTTTTTAAATAACATCAAACAAAATCGTTTCAAATTATGTATATTATAGGTAAAAATATTATCAAACTCAAGTCTCTCGAAATTAATCTAAATTAATTAATCATTTATAATATCTCTCACATATTAGATTCATGTCATTGCTATTTTCTAAACATGATTTTGTTAAAAATAAAATACAAAGATTAGTATGCAAAATTTTTAGTTTGAGTTTGTTTGATTAAAAATAATAATTTCATGTTTTATTTGTAAAATTGAATTTATAAAATGGAAGCGCAAGCTTCCAAACCGGAATCGTAAGCTTCCAACGAGCTTCCAAAGTGGAATTTTTGGAAACGCGATGGAAGCGAGATTCCGAAAGCTTCCAAGAGCTTCCGATTCCGACTAAGATTCCGAAGCGGGAAGCGGACCTCCGACGAAGATTCCGTGCTTCCTAGTTCTGAACAACTTCATATTGTTTAACCATCTTCGCGTCATCGCTATATATATAGTATTGTTTTAGTTAGTATAATTATTTTTTTTTTCTTTTTTTTTTCTCTGACTAAAACAATATACGTCTGACTAACACTGTCTAAACTAAAATAGATTATTGGTAATTAAATTTTTTGTCGGTTCGGTTTTAAAAATGTATCATAATTTTGGTATATTATGTGTTTTGTTCAGATTGATTGTGGTTGTTTCCCAATCATAGTGGATATCAGATTTGCTTGGCTAGCTCCATGAGGGCTTTGCCTTTTATGAATATGTGGTTTCGTGTGACATGCCTCTTTTCTTTTAATTTGAACTCCAAATATGTATATGGAATCGAAACAGGACATCCAACGAAACAGGCATGTATTTTTAAAACAATTGACGTAAAAAATAACTTTTCTCTGGAAAATAAAAATATTATCTTTATCTTATTTTTAGTATCATTTCGAAAATATTTAAAAATATCTGTTTTGGATTTACTATAAATTCTTATTAAAAAGACATAATTTTCTCTGAACAAAAGTTAAATAAAACAATGTAGCATAGTAACAGTAAGCGGCGGACTTTGGTCCAAAACCTTCTGGTATTAAAAAAAAAACAAAAAAACAAAAGAAAACAGTGAACGGCGGCTGCAAAGTGATTTTCAATACACTTTTTTCTTTGCCATCAAGTAAATTTCTCAATAGATAGAACTAAAAGGTTACAAACTGGACAACTAAACTTTTATCAACTAAAACTTTTTCTTTTTGGTATCATTATTAAAGAGTAATACCACTTTATCATATAGAAAGCAAAAAACTTAACTCAAAAGTTTGGTGAAAGAGCTTACGAAACATCCTACAAATGATATTCTATCTTTTTTTTTTTTTTTTTTTTTTGTAAACCACAAATGATATTCTATTATAAATAATAAATTCTCCTTGAATAACTCACATTGGGGGAATTTTACCTTTCAATAAAACGCTAAACGACACAAAATAAAATAATAAGATGCGACGTAACAACCACCTCCACTACTCTTTCTTCGTAATGAAGAAAGAGAAGCTGCCCATGCCTGAGTTTCATCTTCACCGGATCGCCACCGAAGGCACTCACTAAAACCTAAGTCCTCTTTAGATAGCCACTGAAAATACCACGTGATTCCAACGACCAAAATACCAAAGTCCATAAATAAGTATATTATAAAGAAAAACATTTATTTACTTCCACCTATCGATCGATACCCAAAAAAGCAAATGACCAAACTACCCAACAACCTTGCCTATGCCTATGCCTATTTGTATAAGTATAACACACAGCCTCTTCTTTTTCACCCACAAACAACAAAACATGGCTTTCACAAAAATTGTCTCAGTCATTTTCCTTTGCCTCTTAGGTCCTTGTATAGGTGTTGGAACCACTAGCTCTGGTGGATCAGTCAGTAGCATTGTGACACAAGGTTTCTTTAACAACATTATCAACCAAGCCGGTAATGGCTGCACGAGAAAAAGATTATACACCCGCGACTCTTTCATTGACGCTGCTAATAGTTTTCCCAACTTTGCTAGTTCCGTTACTAGACGTGAAATTGCTACCATGTTTGCTCATGTCACTCACGAGACCGGCCGTAAGATTTTTTTTCTTTACGTTTCTAATATATTTTATAATTTTTTTAATATTTTTGTTTGTACATCTACTCCGATTTAGTTACTTTTAGTAACTCCAAATAAATGAGTAAATCATTCTAAACTAACCTAAGGGTTGAGATGTTTCATTATTTCAGATTAAGCAATGGTGATTATAATATTATTACTGCACGTTAAGATTAAACCTCTAAAAACTAAACATATGTCTTGATCTCAATTAATTGAGCTGATTAAAAATCACTTTTTTCTTTTCTTTCATGTGATCTCTATGTCGTATAGACTTCTGCTACATAGAAGAAACAAAGAAAAAGTCACGTGGCAGGTGCGACGAGAACGTAGAGCAAAAACCATGTCCATCGCCGAGAAAAGGTCACTCCGGTCGTGGTCAGAGCCTCGGTCTCGACCTTCTAAGCCAGCCTGAGCTTGTGGGTAGCAACCCAACTGTAGCTTTCACGAAGGGTTTGTCGTTTTGGATTAATAGTGTAAGGCCGGTACTGAACCAAGGATTTGGAGCCACAATAAGAGCCATCAATGGGATGGAATGTAACGGTGGGAATTCAGGTGCTGTCAACGCAAGGATTGGGTACTATAGAGACTATTGTAGACAACTTGGTGTGGATCCTGGTCCTAACCTTAGTTGCTAAAAATTTCTTCAAATGCAAACTCGCATACACGTGACGTGTCACGTGATAATGCGGAATAAGAAGTTAGATATAAAATAAAGTTAAATTTCATACGTATGTCCGGCAGAAATCAAACCGGACAAAGATTCAAATCGCAAGTACATGGATTAACGTTTTGTAACTGTTATTGTATCAATTTGTTAATAAGAGGAGAATTGGTCTTACTTATGTCTAGCTAGTAACCATCTATGTTTGTAGGAGCTACGTTTCCACTCTTTGGTTTTGCTTCTTCTTGTTTGTCTATTTAAACCAATGAAAAAGCATATCATACAAAATCAAACGAAAATATTCACAAACTTCGAGATCGATGCTGCAAAATTCATCATTTCGATTTTCGACCAAAGAAGAGGAAAAAGACCCGAGTTCCACTGGTTTCTCATTATCGGCTCGCTCAGTACCGTCTCAATATATAATGAGACCTTTGGCAAAACAAAAAAAAAAATTAAAATCTCTTAGTAATTTTTTCTTTGAGAATTTTTTTGAAACTTATATTGGACCCTTGGCATTTGCCTACCTTGCCTAGGGGTAGAGACGGGTCTGCCAATGACGCTACCATGGCTCACATGCATTCCATCCGCCATTAGCATCTCCTTCCGAGCAGATCTTGTTGTCGTTCTCGTTTCCCTTCAATAGAGGACTTGGTTCCTCATGGTCTCTTCGCGGCTATCTTCTCTCGCCATAGTTTATATACATGAGACATGGTAGGCCAATGTATTTGATTGTTGGTCTTCCTTATGTTTAGTAACGTTTTGACACCTCCTCCAATCTTCTTCTCGGGCTGGGGATGACCCTTTTTGACCAAATTTAGTAGCACTCTGCTCAAACAACTTATAACAAGAAATTTGCACGAACAATCAAATACATTAGCCTACCATGAGATTCTTTCAAATGCTCAAAAACCGATTTGAATAGTCATCTAACCATAACAAAAACATATTATTTTTGAAGAACGTAGTCACACATCTCCTAGAAGTATCAATGGTTCATTCCCACGGTATTTCAATTCCTCTAAACCAGTATTAGAATTTTAGAACCATATGAATCAAATCATATAATCAAGTATCCACAAAACATCATAATACTAAGCTACATATATACTCTGATTTGTCAGAGTTACTATTGTCACCTACAGAACTTCAAGTTTCAGATTTGTATTCGAGACAAGTAGATGCAAACTTTAGAACCCAAAATGTCTTACTTTGACATCGAGATTATATAAACCGGTTAAGCGACCTTGATTTTAAAAACCGAACCGGTTCTCTCAATCATGCAAACATTAGAAGGCGATTACATTTATTTCCGAATTTTATTAACACAGATGAAAAAAGTCAAGAGTCAAACTAACTAGGAACGTCTAGAATTTTCAACTTGGTCCATTTCGCCTACTCTATTGGAAAAAGGAAGCAAATACTGTATTTTATATGTCCACATAAATTCTTTTTCAACCAAACTTTAATAATTACTATATGGACCAATTCATTAATTAATTCCTGTATCTGATTTAGGTGAAAAACTCTTTACTAACATTTAAAATCGAAACCAAAAAAACTGTGTAACAAAAATTTCCACCCAATGACTTCCGTTAAAATCGACGAGAAGAACAAGCACTTTCTCAACTAGCCGTTTAAGACTATCTTTATTGGGAGGTCCTTAGCTTAGTTCTTAGCTCATGAATGATTAAAATTAAAAGTTAAAATATTGATTTTGCTAAGGAATGGTTCTTAGTTAAAAGCAAAAAATTGGCTTAAGAACCAAAACTAAAGCCTCCCCAATAATGTTGCTGACGTTATCTTACCAAACACCAAAGCTCTGGTTCGTACAAACCCGAACCTCTTTCACTGCTTATACACGTATGTATGTATTAATTTCTTTTAGGTATTTTATAAAAACGCGCTCCTAAAAATATTAATACAATTGAAATTTTGTTTTATCTGATTATTCAGACCGAACACCGGAGAAACAAAAATAAACACAAAACTTCAAGAGTTTCGTTTTAGCTTAAAGGTTCCAGATTTCGAAAGAGCTCTCTTTTCTTTTCTTCGTGTTCCAGAATTATTTCTAGGTAATCTTTGATTTCTTTCGATTATAATGATTCAATTTTGATTTTCATTTGTAGAAAATATTAGGGTTTGATTCTGGAGATCGAATCGTATCTCTTTGTTTGTTTATTGAATTTGGGGCTTTTTCTATTAGGGTTTGTTTGGTTCCTGTGAAATTATCAAATGTTCCTGCATTTAAGGAATTGTTTTGATTTTTGGATTTTTTTTTTATGTTACAGATATATCATATATCATTTGGTGCTAAGTTTAAAGATGGCTGATCATTTGAGTTTATGTACCGATCGTCTCATAACATCTGAGAGCTTGAACTCAGAGAAAGATTCTGAGTCTTCTGGAGAAAGTTCTTACCGGCCTCAAGGCACAGACTTGGCTTCTTCATCTGTGGATGAAGCTGAGGAACCTAGAGAGTATTACGCGGTTGCGGAAGAGGAAGAACCACTTCTCCAATCTGTGGAGTGTCGTATTTGCCAGGAGGAAGATACCACTAAGAACCTTGAAGCTCCTTGTGCTTGTAATGGTAGTTTGAAGGTAAATACGTTGAATCTCATTGTTGTTTGTTTTGATGGTATTGATTGGTTTGATAATTTCTTATTGAGCTTTGATTTACCCAGTATGCACACCGCAAGTGTGTTCAGCGTTGGTGTAATGAGAAAGGCGACATAACTTGTGAAATATGTCACCAGGTAAATCATCAATCTCTCAAGCTCTACTGCCAAATGTTGTATCTTTAATTCAATTTACCTGTATAAGTTCATAGCCTTTAAGATGCCACAAAATGCAAATTAGATTTAACTTTTGGATGATGAAATGAATCAACAATAATCCATTTTTTTTTTTTCAGTTTTGTAATATTGTTGTAGTTACATAACTTTCCTGAATTTAAGGTCTTGATTGTTTCTTTTGACTTCTTGGGATTTTCCTATGTTAGTTCAGAATGGTTCATCTTGGTATCACTGCTAAAGTGCTTCTTTATCTAACTGCTATTGACACTAAGAGAATACCAGTTACAACTTCTAAAAAGTTCTTTTTTTAACAGCCTTATCAACCTGGATATACAGCACCTCCGCCTCCTCCTCCTGATGAAACTATAATTCACATCGGGTAAATATTCCGAATCTATATTTCTGGCCGCTTTACTCAATTGAACAGAAAATTGATATTGGAGTTCATCATCCATTTTCTTAAATCTAATATACATTCAGTTATATTTTACTTTGGCATGGTATGATTCTGGTAGGGTCTAGAGGATTCAAGATGTACCCTCCTCTGTACTAGATTTGTCGTGATAGATATCGTTAACTAACATTATCTATGCATTTGAGACTCAGAAATTTGGTTTATTTATTGTTTTCATATAGATTTCCTTGCTACCATCATTGCTTTCTTAATCTTTGCATTTGTTATTTATTCTGTAGCCCCATTATTCTTGACATGTTTCTGTTATTGAAAATGTGTTGTGCAGTGACGATTGGGAGAACGGAGTTCCCTTGGACTTGAGCGATCCACGGATTCTGGCAATGGCTGCTGCAGAACGTCATTTCTTGGAAGCTGACTATGACGAGTATTCTGAGTCTAACTCAAGCGGAGCTGCCTTTTGTCGCTCTGCTGCTCTCATCGTAAGCTTGCATTTCTCATCCATATGCAAAGTTTCTTTATATCTTGTTGCGAATATGATTTCTTACCATGTGATACGGATTTTTTCTTTCGTTTTAATAATCTTCAACTGTAAGTACTAATACTTGCATTGTACTTGTGTAATGGCAGCTAATGGCACTTTTGCTGTTACGAGATGCGCTAAATCTCACAACAAACTCAGATGACGAGGACGATCCAACTGCCTTCTTCTCGGTATGAACATCTTTACTTGCTTTCCCGATTTCTTCGTACCGTGTCTGAATACACTTTCTGTGTGTTTCTTGATAATGTCCGATTTGACTCTTTTTTTTTTTTCTCTTTCTGCTCTCTCTGATTTCAACAGCTTTTCCTTCTTCGAGCTGCTGGTTTTCTCCTCCCATGTTACATCATGGCCTGGGCCATCGGTATACTACAACGTCGAAGACAAAGACAGGTGTGTGCACGAAAAAACTCTCTGTATCGAACTCTGTTAAATTGTAAATGCTCAATCTAACAGATGAAACAATGGACTGCTTTTGTTTCTATAAAATCAGGAAGCAGCGGCTCTAGCTGCCGCAGAAGTTGCTTTCATGATACACGGTGGTGGGCCTCAACGCAGAGGACTGCACTTTGCTGTAGCATCGCAGCCACCGATATCCAATGTCCCAACACCAGACCCAACACCAGTCTGATCCTTCTCGGCAATGATTCTCCGGTAAGGCTATTAGACAAAACCTTGAACTTGGTTGTAAGAACTTCACCTACTTATGCTTCTTCACATGTTATTATCTTCCTCGTATGTATGTGTTCTCTGAATGTGTTAAATGTTTACTTCGGCTCTCAAATGTTTACAAAGAGCTCCCACGGCACTATGTACAGTCTTATTATCACCATGAATTTTTTTTTTTTTAACTTATCTTATTATCACCATGATTATATTATTATATTTTTATCATATTTATTTACTTTTTATAAATTTATTTGGTCAGCCAAAAATAAATATAAATGTCCAATGCAATTCGAAGTAAATTTTGTAGACTAAATAAAATTTGATCATATAATTTGTTATTGCTAGATGATCTAAGAATAACAATTTAAGTACTTGGCTTATGTTTTTTTGATAAATCTTATTGGCTGATCCGGTCAGCCTCGGTAGAAATGCACCGAAGTGCTTCAGGGTGGACTTCTACTTGGCTTATGTTATAAACCAAAATTTTTGTTTTGGACATTATTATTATTGAACTCAAAAACACACACCAGAATTCAGATTGAGTGTAGCAAATGTACTATGTAAATAGTTCATAAACATATCTAAAGGAAAAGACTAGTTGTTCTTCACAATGACGGTGTTTATGAACTCCATAACTGTTGAAACCAATTGACTTTGATATTTGGTATAACAATGATCAGCTCCTTCCACAATCTTCAGCTCGTGGTTTGGTATGATCTTTGCAAACTCCTTTGCATCTTCCACGGGTACTGTCTCGTCAGCCGATCCATGAACAGTCAAGACCCTGCCATTAGATTAATCCGGGATTGTTTATAATGTATCTCAAACAACCGATATGAGATAGTGAACTTAATGAATCTCACCTGCATTCTTTGTCAATCTTGAGGCAAGCTTCATGCATATCTGTGTTTAACCGGTCCATCAAGCTTTCCTCGGTAACACGGTAACCAGAATCTCCTGTAACAAACCAGCAGTACATTGATAGACACATGAGAGTTCTGATTGAGACAGTGCATGAAAACCAAAGAGCGATAACAATACCATCTTTAACATCGATGTATCCTTGTTTCTTAATTCTTTCCACAAAATTTTCACCAAGACGTTCTCCTATGCCTTTCTTCAGATCATAACGTCCCGAGAGATTGATTACATTGGGGATATCGTGATACTTAGATGCATAGAGGAGGACCACATCACCTCCTATGCAATGTCAAAATATAAGTTGAGTTTCTTGCAATGTAAGATTCACCCCTTTTGAGAATCCGTTGCTCCGAGGCAGAAAGATCGAACGGTTCTACTTACCTTTACTGTGGCCAAGAATTATAGTAACCACACGGTTCAAGTTAGAGAAGTATTGGATAACAGAATGTAGATCGTCAGCTTCATAATTGTAGTTACCATAACAGAAACTGCCTTCACTCTCTCTGAAACAATGAAAGCACCAAAATCAAAACAAATACCAAATTATTCACATCAACGATAATGCAAGGAAGAAAAACATACCCATTCCCAGAGAAATCGAAACGGAAAGCGCTAATCCCTTCTTTCTCTATAGCAACAGCCACATTTTTCATAATTACAAAGTTCTGCATACATTTATAGCTTCTTTGGTAAGATATAAGATTGAGAAATGAACGTTCAAGTAAGTGAGAAGAAAGTAGAACCGAATCTAACCTTGTTTGATCGAAAGCCATGACACAAGACCACAATTTCTGTAGAACCAGTTTCATGAAGCATCCCCACAAGCTTCTCATTGTGGCTGTTCGGAATCACAATCTTCTGTTGTGTACTTCCCTGCGATGAATCCATTCTCAACTTGTTTGCTTTGTTGTTGGAAATTTGGTTATACTTAAATGGTAAGGCAAGCGTTGAGAAAGATAATGTGGGCTTTACTTAACATTGATACCAAAAATAAAAAAAAATAAAAGATAATGTGGGACAAGGAGAAATTTTTGTAAAAGATCTATCATTGATCATATTTTGGAATTTATCTATTTAATTTCTAACTTAATTTCAGTATAAATACAATTTAACCATGTTCAATGAATATATATATATGATCTACATACAAATCTTATTTTCTCTAAAATTTTTTTTCTCGGATGATTATAAAAATAAGAAGAAATTCTAACATCAAAAATATTAAAAACAACAACATGGATATGTTTGGTTGTTTCTCAAAGTTATTTTCTAAATATGTAAAGAAATGTACACCCACAAGTTGGATCAAATGAGCCTACCATGTAAATTGGATCAAAAGTGTTTTGATGAGGGTCACAACTTTTAAAACTTGATTAAAAAATAGTGTAAAAGTGCTTTAAAAACTTATAAAATTATTATTTATTTGTACAAATTTTAGTAAAACTATATGAATAATTGGTCAATTTCTACATAATCCCCTGTTACATTTTTATGGCAAGTACTTTTATCTGCTAGTTTCCACAAAATATTTAAAAACTGTCATTTTTGTACCTTTTTCTATCAACCAAATCGAAATCTAAAGACAGAAAAAGGGATTGATGTTTATAGAAAAGTCATAAAGACTCGCAAATGTCTTTGTTTCTGATTTTATATTTAGCCCATAGAATGTCTTTGTTGACTACTTGACTTAGATTTTGGAAAAGTGTGCCTTATTCCTATTTTTCTTTTTGCATCAAGTTGCATTATCACTATTCGCCACAAATTAAAGGTATTTTGCAATTGCTTCGTCTCTTATATGTTCACTTTCCTGCAAATACATGAGAAGCACTAAAAAACACAAAAAAAAAATGAGAAGCATGAGACTAACTCTTTTACTTGCTTTCAATGCACTCATGCTACTTAAAACACATGGTTTTACCGATGAAACTGATAGGCAAGCGTTGCTTAAATTCAAGTCTCAAGTTTCTAAAGACAAAAGAGTTGTCTTGTCCTCATGGAATCTTTCATTCCCACTCTGCAGTTGGAAGGGGGTTACATGTGGCCGTAAAAACAAAAGAGTTACTCATCTTGAACTGGGAAGATTGCAATTAGGAGGAGTGATATCACCATCTATTGGTAATCTATCGTTTCTTGTATCACTTGATCTCTATGAAAACTTTTTTAGTGGTACTATTCCTCAAGAGGTAGGAAAGTTGTTTAGACTTGAATACTTGGATATGGGCATAAATTTTCTAAGGGGACCGATTCCAATAGGTCTATACAATTGCTCTAGATTGTTGAACCTTCGTTTAGATTCAAATCATCTTGGAGGAGATGTTCCTTCAGAGCTAGGGTCATTGACGAAGCTTGTTCAGTTAAATCTTTATGGAAACAATATGAGAGGAAAGATACCTGCATCACTAGGAAATTTGACATCACTACAACAACTTGCATTATCACATAACAATCTTGAAGGAGAAATCCCGAGTGATGTTGCTAAATTGTCTCAAATATGGAGTCTTCAATTAGTAGCTAACGATTTCTCAGGTGTTTTTCCTCCCGCTATCTACAACTTGTCCTCACTTAAGCTTTTAGGTATAGGTTATAATCATTTCTCGGGTAGCTTGAGACCTGATTTTGGTATTCTGCTACCAAATATTCTATCGTTTAATATGGGAGGGAATTATTTCACAGGATCCATTCCAACAACACTTTCCAATATCTCTACTCTTGAAAGATTGGGAATGAATGAGAACAATCTCACAGGAAGTATTCCTATTTTTGGAAATGTTCCAAATTTGCAATTGTTACTTCTTCATACCAATTCTTTAGGAAGTTATTCTTCTAGAGATTTTGAATTTCTCAGTTCTTTGACAAACTGCACCCAACTAGAGACCTTAGGGATTGGTCAAAATAGGCTTGGGGGTGACTTGCCTATTTCTATTGCTAATCTATCCGCAAAACTCATAACTCTAGACCTTGGAGGAACCCTCATTTCTGGAAGAATTCCTCATGACATTGGGAATCTCATAAACCTACAGAAGCTTATATTGGATGAAAATATGTTGAGTGGACCACTCCCAACCTCTCTTGGAAAGCTTTTAAATTTGAGGTATTTAAGTCTATTTTCAAATAGATTATCAGGAGAGATACCAACTTTTATAGGCAACTTCACTATGTTAGAAACACTCGATTTGTCCAACAATAGTTTTGAAGGTATTGTTCCTGCAACTCTCGGGAACTGTAGTCACCTACTAGAATTGTGGATTAGGGATAATAAGTTGAATGGGACTATACCTCTGGAAATCATGAAAATTCAGAGTCTTCTTCGCCTAGACATGTCAAGAAATTCTTTATTCGGCTCTCTGCCGCAAGATATTGGACAGCTACAAAATCTTGGTACACTATCAGTGGGGAATAATAAATTATCAGGGAAACTTCCACAAACTTTGGGAAAGTGTCTCACAATGGAAAATCTTTATCTGCAAGGAAATTCGTTTTATGGAGATATTCCAGATTTGAAAGGGTTGGTGGGTGTTAAAGAAGTTGATTTTTCGAACAATAATCTCTCTGGAAGTATACCTGAATATCTTGCAAACTTTTCCAAGTTGGAGTATCTCAATCTATCTGTGAACAATTTTGAGGGAAATGTGCCAATGAAAGGAATATTTCTGAATACTACTACAGTTTCTGTATTTGGAAACAATGATCTATGTGGAGGCATTAGGGGATTTCAACTAAAGCCATGCCTCGTGCAAGCACCACCAGTGGAGAAGAAGCATTCCTCTCGTTTAAAGAAAGTTGTGATTGGAGTTAGTGTAAGCATAACTTTGCTTTTGTTGCTGTTCATAGCTTCAGTTTCTTTGATTTGGTTGAGAAAGAGAAAGAAAAACAAGCAGACCAATAATCCAACTCCTAGTTTGGAAGTCTTCCATGAGAAGATAAGTTATGGAGATCTCCGTAATGCGACAAATGGCTTCTCTTCGAGCAATATGGTCGGGTCTGGCAGTTTTGGGACTGTATTTCAGGCATTTCTTCCGACTGAGAAAAAGGTTGTTGCAGTGAAAGTTTTAAACCTACAGAGACGTGGAGCGATGAAGAGCTTTATGGCAGAATGTGAATCCTTGAAGGATATAAGGCATCGTAATCTTGTGAAACTATTGACAGCTTGTGCTAGTATTGATTTCCAAGGTAACGAATTCAGAGCTCTCATATACGAGTTCATGCCGAATGGAAGCTTGGATATGTGGCTGCACCCAGAGGAAGTGGAAGAGATTCATAGGCCCTCAAGAACCTTGACACTTCTTGAAAGGATCAACATTGCCGTAGACGTGGCTTCTGTTTTGGACTATCTGCATGTTCATTGTCATGAGCCTATAGCTCATTGCGATCTTAAGCCAAGCAATGTCCTTTTAGACGATGATCTAACAGCCCATGTTAGCGACTTTGGTTTGGCTCGTCTTCTCCTTAAACTAGACCAGGAGTCCTTCTTCAACCAACTAAGCTCAGCTGGCGTTAGAGGAACCATCGGCTATGCTGCACCAGGTAAAAAAATCACACATCTCTAATATTCTATGAAGAAAATTAGAATATTAGTTTTTGAATTACAATCTTATTTTTGCGAGAAATCAATATACTCTATTTGCATTACAATCTCCTTGTTGTTGTTTCTGTGAATTATGGTGCAGAATATGGAATGGGAGGACAGCCATCAATACAAGGTGATGTGTATAGCTTTGGGGTTCTCCTTTTGGAAATGTTCACTGGAAAAAGACCAACTAATGAGCTATTTGGCGGAAACTTTACCCTACACAGCTACACCAAGTCGGCTTTGCCGGAAAGAGTATTGGACATTGTAGATGAATCGATTCTTCGAAGTGGTCTAAGAGCCGATTTCCGTATTGCTGAGTGCCTGACACTGGTGTTGGAGGTGGGACTTAGGTGCTGTGAAGAATCCCCTACGAACCGGATGGTAACGAGTGAAATTGCAAAAGAGTTGATCTCAATCAGAGAGAGGTTCTTTAAAACCAGAAGAACATCCAGACATTGAAGTGTTAATGGTTTATCTCTTTAGTGTCGTCTTCCATAATGTGTGGGTTACAATCAATTTATTTGGTCTTTCTCTCAGCTCTTCTTATCCAATGTTTGAAAAAAATTCTTTCAGTTGTGAAATTTGTGATTATGTATTTTGGTTTTCTTGTATGATGAAGACAAGTTTTTCAAAATTTGGGTCTTGCTTAAACTTCCTGGGTCTTTTAGTTTGACTTGAATTTAAGAGACCTATAAGGATTTCTTGCTGAGGTTTCAAGTCCTGTTTCTTTGATGCTTGAGCTAATAAGTTCTGTTTTTCTGCGATGATAGAGTGTGGTTACATTTTTTTGGATGTGTTTCTGAGGTTGTTGATCTAGGGAAATTAGAAAGTTCCATGTTGAAATGGTAAAAGTGTTTGGTGAATGCATTGATCAATCAATTTTGCTGTTATATATTGTTAATAAAGAAACTTTGTAGGATCTGTTATTTTGCTGTTATTGACACACTTTTGATGAAGAGTTTTGTTATTTGTGTGTTTTCATCAAGTTATGATCTTTATGAACAATGTCATTTTTTTCTCATGATTAACAGATCTTTAGATTATACATTTATATTCAGTTAGTGATCAAATGAGATTTTGGCTTTTTTTTTTCTTTCTTGTCACCGGGTTCCTCCAATGTTGGATTCATATGACTAGAACAAGTAAATAAATTTGATGAAATGCTCTGTTATTGCTAGGTGACCTGATGAAATCCTCTGTTATTGTTATTGCTTATTCGATTATTCCGATTGGAATTTCCATTCTTAGAAAATTATAAAACTGAATTTTTTACTATGTAAATTTCAAATCATTGAAACGACTAAACTCACTAAACCCCTTGTGAAGTCTTACTATTTAATTGGAATAAAAAAAAAAAAAAAAAAGCAAACAGCTTAAAAGAAAGAGTCTTTGGCTTCAACAGATTTGAAGTTTGCCTTCAACATTCATACAGATTGCAATTAAGATTCACTCATTATTTAACGCTATATGCAAGAACAGAAGAAAGTTACAAAACAACCAAGAAGCCGAACTAGTGATGGCCAAAACCTTTAATCACTCGCTATACAAAATGAACCAAAATTATGCAACTTTATAACATATTGGATTCAGAAATGAACATTCAAATTAGTGATATAGGAAATGCATAAATCAAAATAAACCTTCATTTCTCAACGTGAACTAGCAGCTGTTTTTCTCTAGTCGTTGAACATTACTTGCCGTTTTTTAAACAATAAAACACCACACAGTTCGTCATTGCAAACTCAGCCCTCAACGTACGTCTAATTCAGTCACCTTGTTTAAACCTTATTATGGTTTCTAAGAAATAATTGCCTCGAAATTCCACAAAAAAAAACTGATTGAGACAGATAAGACAGAACCCATGTAGTCTCCGCAAAACTCAAACTGTAAGTAAACGTACGTTGACGCCAAAATACTTTGATTACTTTTTCATTTTTTTCTCTCTTTGAATTTGTTGCAACAAAACTGTTTTGGCAATGATAAGACACGAAACCTGTCGTCAATTTGTGGATTTCTTCATAAACCCCATTGATACGTCTTAAAGCTAAGACTAGTGAAATGTTTATGACGTTCAACACCGTTGATTACATGACTTTAGTTGGCATTAGTCTAGACGGTAAGAATCAATGTCAGTTTGGAAAAAAATCTCGCATTACTATGTTGTTGTGAGCCCTATTTATATATTATCACCGTAATGTAAAATGCAGTTTGCGATTGCTTCCTCTATTATTTTCAGTTTCCTGCAAAATTTTAGAAGCACAAAAAACCTTTTAACCAAAAGAAAACACAAAAGTTTGAGAAGCATGAAAGTGTTTAATTTACTTGCTTTGAGTACTCTTATGTTACTTGAAGCATATCGTTTTACTGATGAAACTGATAGGCAAGCGTTGTTGGAGTTCAAGTCTCAAGTTTCTGAAGGCAGAAGAGATGTGTTGTCCTCATGGAATAATTCATTCCCTCTTTGCCGCTGGAAAGGGGTTAGATGTGGCCGCAAACACAAGAGAGTCACACTTATGGACCTCAACGGATTGCAGTTAGGCGGAGTGATATCACCATCTATTGGTAATCTTTCCTTTCTCATATCACTTAATCTCTCTGATAACTCTTTTGGTGGCACCATCCCTCGAGAGGTTGGAAACTTGTTCAGACTTGAACATTTGGATATGAGCTTTAATTTCCTCAAAGAAGGGATTCCAATCAGTCTATATAACTGCTCTAGATTGGCGGAGTTTTATTTATTTTCAAATCATCTTGGAGGAGGTGTTCCTTCCGAAATAGGGTCATTGACGAAGCTCGTTGAATTAGATCTTGGCCAAAACGACTTGAAAGGGAAGCTCCCAGCATCTCTAGGAAACTTGACATCACTCATGGAAGTTAGCTTTACCACTAACAATATAGAAGGGGAAATTCCGAATGATATAGGTAGATTGACTCAAATAGTGGCGCTTCAATTATCAGCGAACAAATTCTCAGGTGTTTTTCCTCCTTCCATCTACAATTTGTCCACACTTTTGTTTTTAAATATCTTTGGTTGTGGCTTTTCGGGTAGTTTAAGGCCTGATTTTGGTAATTTGCTACCAAACCTTGAACATATATATATGGGAGGGAATTATTTCACAGGAGCCATTCCAATAACACTTCCCATTATCTCGAATCTTCAAGTGTTGGGAATGGAGGACAACAATCTAAGAGGTAGTATTCCTCCAAGTTTTGGACAAGTACCAAACTTGCAATCTCTAAATTTTCGTGCTAACCAATTGGGTAGTCGCTCTTTTGGAGATCTTGATTTTCTTGGTGCTTTAACTAATTGCTCTCAACTACAAGTGGTAGACGTAGGTGAAAATTGGCTTGGGGGTGACTTGCCTAATTCCATTGCCAATCTGTCTAGGAACCTCATGTATTTAAGCCTTCAAACCAATTTCATCTCTGGAAGCATCCCTCATGACATTGGGAATCTCATAAGCCTACAATCACTTAGGCTAAACCAAAATTTAGGAAACATCACTCGGTTAGTATACCTCTATTTTTCCAACAATAGTTTTGATGGAACCATTCCTCCGAGTCTTGGAAAATGTAGTCAGCTACTAGACTTACGAGTTGGGTATAATAAGTTGAATGGGACTATACCTCAAGAAATTATGGTAATTCGATCGCTTACTACCCTCAGCATGTCAAATAATTATTTATCTGGCTCTCTAGCAAAAGATGTTGGACGATTACAGAATCTCGTTCGACTATCTGTTGCGGCTAATAAATTATCAGGGGAGCTCCCACAGACTTTGGGAAACTGTTTCTCGATGGAATTTATGTATCTACAAGGAAATTCTTTTGATGGAGCCATTCCAGATATAAGAAAGTTGGTGGGTGTTAAAGAAGTTGATTTATCGAATAATAATCTGTCCGGAAGTATACCTGTATATATTGCAAACTTCTCCTCGTTGCAATATCTTAATCTATCCATTAACAATTTTGAGGGAATGGTGCCAACAGAAGGAAAATTTCAGAACTCTACTATAGTTTTGCTATTTGGAAACAAAAATCTATGTGGAGGTATCAAGGAACTGAAACTAAAGCCATGCATTGCGGTAGCACCACTAATGGAGACAAAGCACCTATCTCTTTTAAAGAAAGTTGTGATCGGGGTCAGCGTAGGCATAGCTTTCCTTTTGCTATTGTTCATAGTTTCTCTACGTTGGTTCATAAAAAGAAAGAAGAACCAGAAGACCAATAATTCAGCTGCGTCTACATTGGAGAGTTTCCATGAAAAGATAAGTTATGGAGTTCTACGAAATGCGACAGATGGCTTCTCTTCAAGCAATATGGTTGGGTCAGGCAGTTTTGGTACTGTGTTTAAGGCATTGCTGTTGGGGAAACGACACACGATTACGCAGCGGACTAAAGTTTCACCCGAACTAATGTGAACCTTGTGAGGAAAATACAATGGACTTGGCAGCAATAACTTCAAAAACTTAAAGTAAATGAGACCACCAATTTTTACGTGGAAAACCTTCTCGATGTGAGAAGGAAAAACCACGGGACCGTAGTCCACTCAAAATCCACTATATCAAATGTATGAGTGTTACAACCACATCCTCCCTGTTCCACAAGAACAGATACAGAGACTAAGGCTCCAAAGAGCAATCTCCAAACACAAGAAAAACTCAGCAAGAGAGCAATACAAGAGCTTAGAAATAAGCAGTTCCAAACGACCCTAGGTTCGCTAAGATTCCGGTCACCAAATCAAATCTCCACCGTACAAATCCTAGATAAACAGGTCAGGAACACCTCTGCAAAATTTCAGCTCAAACCGAGAAGAACTCACCGTTGGATCTTCCAAACACTCACGACATATGCTGCAGGAAACTCTGGAAAATCCAGACACAACCAGCCACGCTAAAACTCGGATTTCTCACAAACCAACCGTTGAAACCAAATCTCCACCGTTGAATCTGAAGACCACTGAGTCACGAAGCTACTCTCCAAAAATCAGCCAAATCGAAGCTCATTTGAGTGTCCAAACGTTCAGAGAAGCAAAATCGTTTTTTCTTCTCCTCTTCCTCCAAAACTCTCTTTTTTTTTTTTTTTTTTCTTTCGTGTTATGTTTTTCTTGCCGACACTTTCTTTTTCTTCTTTTTATATATATAATATATATATATATATTTTTCTCCTCCACTAGGAGGAATAAACAACAAACTCCCCCTCCGACTAGGTGGAGGAAACAGCCATTCCGGCTATCTCTCGGCATACTTCAAGCTTCCCTCTCGGCAATGACTTAGTCATCATATCAGCTCCATTATCATCCGTATGAACTTTTGCAAGTTCCACTTCCTTAGAAGCAATCACATCACGTATCCAATGATACCTTCTGTTAATGTGTTTCGAACGCGAATGAAATGTAGAGTTCTTTCCAAGATGAATTGCGCCTTCGTTATCACAAAGCAATACATAATTATCTTGCTTGAAACCGAGATCCTCAAGATAATTTTTCATCCACAACAACTCCTTACAAGCTTCTGTTGCGGCTATAAACTCAGCTTCAGTGGTAGAAAGTGCAACACACTTCTGTAACCTTGATTGCCATGCCACAGCTCCCCCAGCAAATGTTACCAAGTAACCCGAAGTAGACTTACTGGAATCAGGATCCCCAGACAAATCAGAATCAGTATAACTGACAAGTAGTGGCTTATCACCTCCAAAAGTAAGCTTCAGATCAGAAGTCCCTCGAAGATATCTCAAAATCCACTTCACAGCATTCCAGTGTTCTCTTCCAGGATTGGAGAGAAAACGACTAACTGTACCAACAGCGTGAGCTATATCAGGTCTTGTACAGACCATAGCATACATCAAGCTACCAACTGCAGAAGCATATGGAACCCGTGCCATATCTTCTTTCTCCAACTTTGTTTTCGGACTCTGTTGACTGTTCAATCTAAAGTGTGTAGCAAGAGGAGTGCTAACAACTTTAGACTTGTCCATGTGAAACCTTTGAAGTACCTTTTCAATGTACCTCTCCTGAGATAAGTAAATCAACTTCTCATCTCTAACTCGAACAATTCTCATACCAAGAATCTGTTTCGCTGGACCCAAATCTTTCATGGCAAAGGACTTTCCAAGCTGGTTCTTCAACTCTTGAATTCTGCTCAAGTTCTTGCCCACAATCAACATGTCATCAACATACAATAGCAAGACGATAAAATCATCTTCACCAAACATTTGCACAAACACACAATGATCAGAAGTAGTCTTCTTATAACCATGCTCCCCCATAACTGACTCAAACTTCTTATACCACTGCCTTGGTGCCTGTTTCAAACCATAAAGACTTTTCTTCAAGCGACAAACTAAATCCTCTTTGCCCTTTTTCACAAAGCCTTCCGGTTGTACCATGTAAATCTCTTCCTCCAAATCTCCATGAAGAAAAGCAGTCTTTACATCCATTTGCTCAACCTCTAGATCAAGGCTCGCTGCCAATCCAAGTACAACCCGAATGGATGACATCTTCACAACAGGAGAAAAGATTTCATCATAATCAATCCCCTTCTTTTGGCCGTACCCTTTCACAACCAATCTAGCCTTGTATCGAGGTGACAAACTGGTCTCATCATGCTTAATCTTGTACACCCACTTATTAAGCAATGCCTTCTTGCCCTTAGGCAATTTCACCAACTCAAAAGTATGGTTCTCTGCAAAAGAATCCATCTCGTCACCCATGGCATCATGCCATTCATCTTTGTGTTCATCCTCTAAAGCTTCATCAAAGCTCTCAGGTTCTCCCCCATCAGTAAGTAGCACATACTCACTAGGATCATACCTTGTCGACGGTTTTAGACCTCTCTCAGATCTTCTAACAATAGGAGGGTTCTCGGTAGTTGGTGTCTCACCATGATCGTCATCATGATCACCAATACCATCATCATGTGCGGGAGCATCTGCACCAGGTGTATCAACTTGAACCTCATCCTCGACCTGACCGTGAACCGATGTAGAAGGAGCAACCACTGAATCAATCAAACTCTCATAACTCTGAGTTGGATTTCCGGACTTGTCAATGTCCTTAATCGTTTGATCTTCCATGAACACAACATCTCTGCTCCTAATGAGCTTCTTCTCAACGGGATCATAAAATCTGTATCCAAACTCATCCTGACCATAACCAATGAACACACATTGTCGCGACTTCATCTCAAGCTTCGACCTTTCATCCTTGGGAATATGAACAAATGCCTTACACCCAAAGACCCTCAAATGACCATAAGAAACGTTCTTACCGGTCCACACCCTCTCTGGAATTTCACCCTCCAATGGAGCACTCGGTGATAGATTCAGCACATGAACAACCGTGCTTAAAGCCTCACCCCAGAAAGTCATCGCCAAGCCTGATTGTGAAATCAAACATCTCATTCTCTCGACAATAGTTCTGTTCATCCTCTCAGCCAACCCATTTAACTGTGGAGTCTTAGGCGGCGTGAACTGATGTCTAATACCATGTTCCTTGCAATAAACATCAAATGGTCCAGAATACTCACCACCATTATCACTGCGGATACACTTCAACTTCTTTCCCGTCTGTCTCTCAACCAATGCCACAAACTGCTTGAAGTATCCTAGAACCTGATCTTTCGTCCTCATAGTAAAAACCCACAACTTCCTTGAATGATCATCAATGAAAGTGACAAAATATGATGCACCACCAAGAGATTTTGTTTTCATTGGACCACACACATCTGAATGAACCAGATCAAGTACCTCAGGTTTTCTAGAAGGTGCAGAAGACTTGAAAGAGACCCTGTGTTGTTTTCCCCGCAAACAATGCGCACATTTCTCCAAGTGCAAACCGGAGATACCTGGAATAGCTTCCTTCTTAGACAACACAGACATTCCCTTCTCACTCATGTGACCGAGTCTCTTATGCCACAATTCCATGGCATGATCATTCTCCAAAGCATTAACACTGTCTTTGGAGACCTTAGCCTGCATCAAATAGAAAGATGAAAGCTTCTCCCCTCGAGCCACAACCAAAGAACCACGTGAAAGCTTCCATTTACCACCGCCGTGTAAACTGTAGAAACCTTCATCATCAAGTCTTCCCGTAGATATCAAATTCATCCGAAGATCTGGGACATGCTTAACATCTTTAAGCATAAGTCTAGTCCCAATACTAGTCTCCAAGCAAATATCACCAATGCCAACAACCTGAGCCAAACCATCATTCCCCATCTTCACAGAACCATAACTACCCGGAGTATAGGTAGAGAACAAATCCCGCTGTGATGTAGCATGAGTAGTAGCTCCACTATCAACCACCCAACTGGTGTCTTGACATACATTAATGGCATCATCTTCAAGAAGAATGAGAAATTGATCGTCAGTGATTGTCACACGATCTACTTCTTCTTGCTTCCCTTGCTGCTTGTCTTTCTTCAACTTCCAGCAGTCTTTCTTTATGTGCCCTTTCTTATGACAATAATGGCACTCTAAATTCGCAAATTTGTTAGATTTGTTCCTGCTCCTGTTCTTGTCTTTCTTGGGATCTCTAGATGAACTCCTCCCCCTTGACTCAGTGACTAACACATCTGATCTTGAGGAACTAGCATTTGACTGCCTTCTATTTCGCTCATTCAAACACTGTGCTTCACCATATCCATCGAAATAACACCATTCGAAGTAGAGTTACAAAGAGACATCCTAAACACCTCCCATGAATCTGGTAGTGTACCAAGAAGCCACAGACCGTGAATCTCATCCTCAAACTTGATTCCCATATCAGACAGTTTATTGAGCAGCCCCTGAAATACATTTAAGTGATCAGTCATTGGAGTTCCCTCCTGATACCTCAACTCAATCAACTTCTTGATCATGTACATCTTATCATTCCCGGTCTTCCGAGCGTACAATTGCTCTAGCTTCAACCACAAAGAACGAGCATCAATCTCATTTTCAATATGATTCAACACATTATCATCTACCCATTGCCTTATCAAACCACACACTTGGCGATGTTGCAACTTCCACTGATCATCAGTCTTCTCTACAGGTTTCTTCTCCTCAAAGACTGGAACATGAAATTCTTTCACAAAAAGCAAATCTTCCATCTTGCCTTTCCATAGATGATAATTAGAACCATTCAAGCTTATCATTCTACCCATATTTTCCATCCTGCCCATATTTTCCATTGCTCACAGAAGCAAATTAATAACCCAAAGTTATCAAACCCAAAGCTCAAAACCAAGAAGCTCTGATACCACTCTGTTGGGGAAACGACACACGATTACGCAGCGGACTAAAGTTTCACCCGAACTAATGTGAACCTTGTGAGGAAAATACAATGGACTTGGCAGCAATAACTTCAAAAACTTAAAGTAAATGAGACCACCAATTTTTACGTGGAAAACCTTCTCGATGTGAGAAGGAAAAACCACGGGACCGTAGTCCACTCAAAATCCACTATATCAAATGTATGAGTGTTACAACCACGTCCTCCCTGTTCCACAAGAACAGATACAGAGACTAAGGCTCCAAAGAGCAATCTCCAAACACAAGAAAAACTCAGCAAGAGAGCAATACAAGAGCTTAGAAATAAGCAGTTCCAAACGACCCTAGGTTCGCTAAGATTCCGGTCACCAAATCAAATCTCCACCGTACAAATCCTAGATAAACAGGTCAGGAACACCTCTGCAAAATTTCAGCTCAAACCGAGAAGAACTCACCGTTGGATCTTCCAAACACTCACGACATATGCTGCAGGAAACTCTGGAAAATCCAGACACGACCAGCCACGCTAAAACTCGGATTTCTCACAAACCAACCGTTGAAACCAAATCTCCACCGTTGAATCTGAAGACCACTGAGTCACGAAGCTACTCTCCAAAAATCAGCCAAATCGAAGCTCATTTGAGTGTCCAAACGTTCAGAGAAGCAAAATCGTTTTTTCTTCTCCTCTTCCTCCAAAACTCTCTTTTTTTTTTTTTTTTTTTCTTTCGTGTTATGTTTTTCTTGCCGACACTTTCTTTTTCTTCTTTTTATATATATAATATATATATATATATTTTTCTCCTCCACTAGGAGGAATAAACAACAATTGCTTCGGACGGAGAACAAGCTTGTTGCAGTGAAAGTTCTAAACATGCAAAGACGTGGAGCGATGAAGAGCTTTATGGCAGAATGTGAATCCTTGAAGGACATAAGACATCGTAATCTTGTGGAACTATTGACAGCTTGCGCTAGTATTGATTTCCAAGGTAACGAATTCAGAGCTCTTATATATGAGTTCATGCCGAATGGAAGCTTGGATATGTGGTTGCACCCAGAGGAAGTGGAAGAGATTCGTAGGCCCTCAAGAACCTTGACACTTCTTGAAAGGCTAAACATTGCCATAGACGTGGCTTCTGTTTTAGACTATCTTCATGTTCACTGTCATGAACCTATAGCTCATTGCGATCTTAAGCCAAGTAACACACTTCTAGACGATGATCTAACAGCTCATGTTAGCGACTTTGGTTTGGCTCGTCTTCTCCTCAAATTTGACCAGGAGTCCTTCTTCAATCAACTAAGCTCGGCCGGTGTGAGAGGAACCATCGGCTATGCCGCACCAGGTAAAACTATCACACATATGTAGTGTTCTATGAAGAAGATTAGTATATTCTCCTATCGTTACAATCTTCTTGTTGTTGTTGTTTTTGTGAATTATGGTGCAGAATATGGAATGGGAGGGCAGCCGTCAATACATGGTGATGTGTATAGCTTTGGGGTTCTCCTTTTGGAAATGTTCACTGGAAAAAGACCAACCAATGAGTTATTTGGTGACAACTTTACCCTCCACAGCTACACCAAATCGGCATTGCCGGAAAGAGTATTGGACATTACAGACAAGTCGATTCTTCACAATGGTCTCAGAGTCGGTTTCCGTATTGCTGAGTGCTTGACATTGGTTTTGGAGGTAGGACTTAGGTGCTGTGAAGAATCTCCTACAAACCGGTTGGCAACGAGTGAAGTCGCAAAGGAGTTGATCTCAATCAGAGAGAGGTTCTTTAAAACCAGAAGGACAGCTAGACGTTGAAGTGTTATGGTTTTGCCTACAAAACTTTGCAGTCCACTTAAAAGGCTTGATATGAGGCCTATATAATTTGTATTTTTTTCTCAAATAAACATACTTATGCTTGCAGAATATTGTTTATGAATGCTTGTGTTATTTGCAGACAATTTATGTACGTCTTCAATGTTCCAACTTTATTTGGATTTTCTCAGTTTTCTCAGTTGTTCATCAAAATGACTGTCTTTATGAACTCCATAACTGTTGAAACTAATTGACTTTGGTGCTCGGTATAACAATGATTAGCTCCTTCCACAATCTCCAGCTTGTGGTTCGGTATGACCTTTGCAAACTCCTTCGCATCTTCCACACGTATTACCTCGTCAGCCGATCCATGAACCGTCAAGACCCTGTCATTACAATTAAACACGGTTTGTTTATACCCCAAACGTCGTCCAATATGAGTTAGAGAACTCAGCGAGTCTCACCTGCATTCTTTGTCAATCTTGAGGCAAGCTTCATGCATATCAGTGCTTAACCTGTCCATTAAGCTCTTCTCAGTAACACGATACCCCGATTTTCCTGCAAAAGACCAGCACATTGATAGAAACACTAGAAATCTGATCAAAGACAATGTAGAAAAACCAAAGAGTGATAACAATACCATCTCCAACATCAATGAATCCTTGTTGCTTAATTCTTTCCAAAAAATCTTCCCCAAGACGCTCTCTTATGCCTTTTTTAAGATCATAACGTCCCGAGAGATTGATTACATTGCGGACATCATGATACTTGGAGGCATAGAGGAGAACAACATCACCTCCCTTACTATGCCCGAGAATGATAGGAACCACACGGTTCTTGTTAGTGAAGTATTGGATAACAGAATGTAGATCATCAGCTTCATGGTTATAGTTACCATAATAGAAACTGCCTTCACTCTCTCTGCAACAATGGAAGCAAAAATGAAATCAACACTTATGCAAAACAATGATAACGCAAGAAAGTGAACATACCCATTCCCAGAGAAATCAAAACGAAAAGCGCTGATTCCTTCTTTCTCTATAACAGCAGCCACATTATTCATAATTTGGTTATTCTGCATAGTTCCACAAGCCAAACACAGAGTTAATTCATATATGATTAAGTCTCAGATCTCAGTCACCACAAGAGCTAAGAAAAACAGAGAACAAAAAAAAAAAGGTTGCGACTTTACGATGGTGAGTAACTGATTACAATTCAAGATTCATATTTCGATTAAGGGTTAATCAAAAATCAACACACTAACCTTGTTAGATCGAAATCCATGGCACAAGACTACAACTTCTGTTGAACCAGTTTCATGAAGTAGACCAACCAGCTTCTGGTTGTGTCCGTTCGGAATCACAATCCTCTGTTCTTGAATTCCCTTAGACGAATCCATTCTCAAATTGTTTGCTTTGTTGCAAGAGATTTGTTGATTGTTCTTGATGGGAAGGCGAACGTTGAAGAAGGATGATTTGGGAAAAGGGGAAGTTTTGTAATAAAGAGAATCTTGAGGGGCAAAACTGAATTTTTGCAAAAGAGTTCTCATTGTTTCATAATCATATCACATGAACTGTTGAGGATGATGAGATTTTATTTTATTATTTTTTAGTGAGAAGGAAAATGACTTGAAAATTTTATTTATTTTTAAAAACCTTTATGTATTTGTAAGAACTGTCTAAATAATATTTAGACTATTATATAAACTAAATAATGAAGGATAATTGACAAAAATAGCATAAAAATATGTTTTTTTTTAATAAATAGCATCACATTTGCAAAGTTCTACAAATAGCACCTTAAAATTTAATTAAACCTTAAATTTAAATTATTAATTTAATTATTAGAATAAATAAATAAAAAGTAAAAATTTGTTGAGCAATATATGAATGTTGTGTTACCAGTTTTATAATAGCTTAACCCTCACTGTTCTTTTTTAGTACCCAAATTTATTTGGATTTTCAAAATGTACGTAGTGTAAACTTCTGATTTTCTTTTCCATCCCAACCTTGTGTGATTTTATTTATTAGACTGATCTAGCTAAGCTTAAATAGATAATTAGTTGGAATTTTTGGTGACTTAATTGATCAAACAGTAGTGTTAAATTATCTGTGTTGTTTACGTTAACAGGAAGAGGAAAGCTTGCCGTTTTGTTATCACAAAAACAACACACAATTCTCTTTCTCTCAATCTGCTCAAAATTAACCTCATTTCCCAAATCGGTTCATTTACGAAAGATTCTTTTGTCACGGTAAAAAAATTGTTGAACAAAATTTGATCGATTGAGATAGATACTTCCTAAACCATATCACCAAAATTTCTCAATCGGGTAGATTTTGCTCAACAATTTCTTCATCTGAGACGATCAATTTTAGACATCGTATAAGGTAACATGAATTTTCTCTCTCTTTTTCTTCTTGTTTCGTATTATAAGGTTTCATACTCTGATGCAACATGTGAGCTTCGTCTCACTGAAAATTGTGAGTAAACTTTGATTGACTCTTTTGATTTTTTTTTTTTTTTTTTTTTTTTGACTCTTTTGTTATTCTACAATGTTTATTGCAAATTGGTCGATTTATTCAAAAAAACCCTATTGATGTGTATTGAATGGAATCAGATCATCCGTTTCTGGTATGTTGGGTGTCAGATAAGTTTAAAGACTAGTGCAGTGTTTTTGGTCGTTTTAGACAAATTGATGGCATGAGTCTAGACGGCAATGATTTTTACGAGTTTGTCACATTGATAACACACAAAAGCTGTCTTCGGTTGGTGGATTTCTTCATAGACCCATTGATACGTCGTAAAGACTAAAGACTAGTGCCATGTTTTCGTCAGTTTTAAACAGTTGACTACTACTTGACTTAGATGGCAAGAGTCTAGACGGCAAGAATCCATGCCATTTTGGAAAAAATCTCGCATACAAAGACATTTTGCATTTGCTTCGTCTCTTATATATTCAGTTTCCTGCAAATTATGAGAAACACCAAAAGCTTTTAACTAAAGAATCTTTTTTGTTAAAAAAAAAAACTTTGAGAATCATGAGAGTGTTTCTTTTACTTTCTTTGAATGCTCTCATGTTACTTGAAGCATATGGTTTTACCGATGAATCTGATAGGCAAGCGTTGTTCGAGTTCAAATCTCAAGTTTCTCTAGGCAAAAGAGCTGTTTTGTCCTCATGGGATAACACCGTCCATGTGTGCAACTGGACTGGGGTTACATGTGGCCGCAAACACAAGAGAGTTACTCGTTTGGAGCTTGGAGGATTGCAATTAGGCGGAATGATATCACCATCTATTGGTAATCTTTCCTTTCTCATATGGCTTAATCTCTCTGGTAACTCTTTTGTTGGTACCATCCCTCACGAGGTGGGAAACTTGTTTAGGCTTGAACACTTGGATATGAACTTTAATTATATCAAGGGAGATATTCCAGCCAGTTTGGCTAACTGCTCTAGATTGTTGGAGCTTCAGATTAATTCAAATCATCTTGGAGGATGTGTTCCTTCAGAACTAGGGTCATTGACGAAGCTTGTTACTTTAGATCTTTATGGAAACAACCTAAAAGGAAAGCTCCCTGATTTTCTAGGTAACTTAACATCCCTTAAAGAAGTTGGATTTGGAGGTAACAATATAGAAGGAAGAATTCCGGATAATATAGTTAGATTGACTCGAATGGTGTATCTTGACTTATCACGGAACAATTTCTTAGGTGTTTTTCCTCCCCCTATTTACAACTTGTCCTCACTTTATGTTTTAAACATCTTCGGTAATAGTTTCTCGGGTAGTCTAAGGGCTGATTTTGGTAATTTGCTACCCAACCTTCAAAGGCTTTTTATAGGAAGGAATCATTTCACAGGAGCCATTCCAACTACACTTCCCAATATCTCAAATCTTCAAATGTTGGGAATGGAGTATAACAATCTGACAGGAGGTATTCCTTCGAGCTTTGGAAAATTATGGAAGTTAAAAGAATTATCACTTCATAGCAATTTTTTGGGTAGTGGCTCTTTTGGAGATCTTGAGTTTCTTGGTGGTTTGACTAACTGCACCAAACTAGAAATCTTAGAGGTTGGTCGTAATAGGTTGGGGGGGTCGCTTGCCTAATTCCATTGGTAATCTGTCCACGGAGCTCAACCTTTTAAGCCTTGACACAAATCTCATCACTGGTAGTGTTCCTCATGAGATTGGGAATCTCATAAGTCTAAAATCACTTTGGTTGGAGAAAAATCTGTTGACGGGACCACTTCCGACTCTCTTGGGAAGCTTTTAGGATTGATGAAATTAAGTCTGTATTCAAATAGGCTGTCAGGAGATATACCATCTTTTATAGGCAACCTCACTTGGTTAGAGTCACTCTACTTGTACGACAATCTTTTCGTAGGATTCATTCCTCCGAGCCTCGGTAATTGTAGTCACCTGCTGGAATTGTGGATTGGGGATAATAAGTTGAATGGGACTATACCTCGGGAAATTATGCAAATTTCACCCCTTCTTACCCTAAGCATCCCACGTAATTTCTTCACTGGCTCTCTACCTGAAGATGTTGGGCGACTAGAAAATCTTGTTACACTATCACTTGAAAATAATAAATTATCAGGACAACTTCCACAGACTTTGGGGACCTGTCTCTCGATGGGAGAACTCTATCTACAAGGAAATTTGTTTGATGGAGCCATTCCAGATATAAGAGGCTTGGTGGATATTAAAGAAATTGATTTCTCGAACAATAATCTCTTTGGAGTTATACCTGGATATCTTGCAAATTTTTCCAAGTTGCAGTATCTCAATCTATCCATTAACAATTTCGAGGGAAGAGTGCCAACAGAAGGGAAATTTCAGAATGCATCTCTAGTTTCAGTATTTGGAAACAAAGATCTATGTGGAGGCATCAGGGAGTTGCAACTAAAGCCATGCTCAAGGCAAGAACCACCAATGGGAAGAAAGCATTCCTCTCTTTCAAGGAAAGCTGTGATATGGGTCAGTGTAAGCATAGCTTTGCTTTTGCTGGTGTTCATAGCTTTAGTTTCTCTACGCTGGTTGAGAAAGAGAAAGAGAAACCTCCAGACCAATAATCCAACTCCTTCCACTATGGGGGTCTTTCATGAAAGATTAGTTATGGAGATCTTCAAAATGCAACAGATGGTTTCTCTTCAAGCAATTTGATTGGGTCAGGTAGTTTTGGTACTGTGTTTAAGGCATTGCTCCCTGTGGAGAATAAGGTTGTTGCAGTCAAAGTTCTAAACATGGAGAGACGTGGAGCAAAGAAGAGCTTTATGGCAGAATGCGAATCCTTGAAAGACATAAGGCATCGTAATCTTGTAAAATTGTTGACAGCTTGTTCGAGTATTGATTTCCAAGGAAACGAATTTAGAGCTCTCATCTATGATTTCATGCCGAATGGAAGCTTGGATATGTGGCTGCATCCAGAGGAAATAGAAGAGATTCATAGGCCCTCGAGAACCTTGACACTTCATGAAAGGCTGAACATTGCCGTAGATGTGGCTTTTGTTTTGGACTATCTTCATGTCCACTGCCATGAACCTATAGCCCATTGTGATCTAAAGCCAAGCAACGTCCTTCTAGACGATGACCTGACTGCCCATGTTAGCGACTTTGGTCTGGCTCGGCTCCTCCTCAAATTTGACCGAGAGTCCTTCCTCAATCAACTAAGCTCAGCCGGAGTCAGAGGAACCATCGGCTATGCCGCTCCAGGTGAAACTATCCCACATCTGTAATGTTCTATGAGAGAAATCAGTACTATACGCTATTTGCATTAAAATCTCCTTCTTGTTGTTTCTGTGAATTACGGTGCAGAATATGGAATGGGAGGGCAGCCTTCAATACATGGTGATGTGTATAGCTTTGGGGTTTTCCTTTTGGAAATGTTCACTGGAAAGCGACCAACCAATGAGTTATTTGGGGGAAACTTTACACTACACAGCTACATCAAATCTGCGTTGCCAGAGCGAGTATTGGATGCTGCCGATGAATCAATTCTTCACATCGGTCTTAGAGTCGGTTTTCCAATTGTTGTGTGCTTGAAATTGGTTTTTGAGGTTGGACTTAGGTGCAGTGAAGAATCTCCTACAAACCGGTTGGCAATGAGTGAAGTCGCAAAGGAGTTGATCTCAATCAGAGAGAGGTTCTTTAAAGCCAGAAGAACAACCCGACGTTGAAGTGTTTATGGTTTTGGTACGAACTTTGCAACCTACCGAAAAGGCTTGTAATATCTTTTCTTAATAATTTGTGGGTTTTACTCTACCAAACATATTTATGCTTGCAAAATATTGTTTGTTAATGAATGCTTGAATTATATGACAATGTATGAATGTTGTTTTACCAACTTTTTATAAAAGCTAATCCAATAAATGTTCCCTTTCAATTTCATGTCCCACCACTCCAACTGCAGCTTCTGTGGTCATAACATTCATCCAGTACGTCCTTGAACACGATGTAAGCCTAGTAACGAGTTCTTGAACACAAGGTATTCGTTCTGCTACGAATCTCGAACCAACATACATCGTGAAGCTCACTGCTTTTATTTGGATTTTCTTAGTTTTCGTAATGCAAGTTCTGTTTTTTTTTTTTTTTTTTTTTTTTTTTTTTTTTTTTTAAAGAACGCATAAACAGAGAAAAACTTTTTGCATTTCTTTAACAATGAATGAATGTTGTGCCCAATGCTATTTGGATTTTCTCTGTTTTTCATTCAAAAGTTCTGGTGCTTATCTTCACCTTTTACCAAAAAAAAAAAAAAAAAAAAAAAAAGTTCTGGTGCTTTCTATGTATATGCTTTTTTCCTTAATGATCTTGAGGTTTTTATAAAAATCTGGACGACCAAGACAAGTTTTGAAGGGAATAGTAGTGAACAATTTAGTTTCCTAATAATTTATCTTTTAGTATTCTTTTTCTTGGGCTACAAGTGACTCATCTAACTGAATTAGACAAGTCCCATGTATGAACGGATTATGTGTGACACACAAAGAATTATGTGTGAAAACTATTAGAATACATAATGATATTTCAAAGTTTCTGTCATGTAACAGGTGTCTTCAGTTCTCTCAGGTCAACAAGACAGATGTGATCTAAGTGATCTGTTTATATGACGTTCCTCATAAATGTTTGGTCCAAGAAATCAAACCAAAGAAACTTTGAATATATACTATATTTCTTTGAAATATAAGAATGTAATAAAATAAGCTCTTTGGAAGAAGAATATACTAAACTTGGTCAATTTGTTGATTTCTTAATTCGTAAACCGACGATGTCTACAGCAAAGTCGTGAAATGGTTGTCATTTTAGAAAAGCTACTTGACTTTAATGCATACAGTAATTTGTAAACTGTTGCAGTCTTCTCTAAGTGGTTGGGAGCCATTATTGTAATACTTTAAGTTGCGTTGTCCCTTATATTTACTTTCTTGCAAAAGAAGCTCCACAAGCTTTTATTCCAAAAAAAAAAAAGAGAGAGAGAGAGAAGAAGAAGTAAAAGCATGAGACTGTTTCTCTTACTTTCTTTCAGTGCTCTCATGTTATTTAAAGCATATGGTATTACTGATGAAACTGATAGGCAAGCTTTGTTGGAGATAAAGTCTCAAGTTTCTGAAGAGAAAAGAGTTGTCTTGTCCTCATGGAATCACTCATTCCCGCTTTGCAACTGGATTGGGGTTACATGTGGCCGCAAACACAAGAGAGTTACTAGTTTGGACCTACGAGGATTGCAATTGGGCGGAGTAATATCACCATCTATTGGTAATCTTTCGTTTCTCATATCGCTTAATCTCTCTGGTAACTCTTTTGGTGGTACCATTCCTCAAGAGGTGGGAAATTTGTTTAGACTTGAATACTTGGATATGAGCTTAAATTTTCTGGGAGGAGGGATTCCAACGAGTTTGTCTAACTGCTCTAGATTGTTGTACCTTTATTTATTTTCAAATCACCTTGGAGGAAGTGTTCCTTCAGAATTAGGGTCATTGACGAAGCTTGTTAGCTTAAATTTTGGTCGAAACAACCTACAAGGAACACTCCCCGCAACTCTAGGAAACATGACATCCCTTGTATATTTTAACTTGGGAATTAACAATATAGAAGGAGGAATTCCAGATGGTTTTGCTAGAATGACTCAGTTGGTGGGTATTGAATTATCAGGGAACAATTTCTCAGGTGTTTTTCCTCCTGCTATCTACAACGTGTCCTCACTTGAGCTTTTATACATCTTTAGTAATGGTTTTTGGGGTAATTTGAGGCCTGATTTTGGTAATTTGCTACCAAACCTTAAAGCACTAACTATAGGAGATAATTATTTCACTGGAACCATTCCAACAACACTTCCCAATATCTCGAATCTTCAAGATTTTGGAATAGAGGCTAATAAATTTACGGGAAGTATTCCTTCGAGCTTTGGAAAGCTACGAAATTTGCAATACTTGTCTCTTCTTGGTAATACTTTGGGAAGTCACTCTTCTGGAGACCTTGAGTTTATTGGTGCTTTGACTAATTTCACCCGACTACAAGTGTTAGATGTTGGTGACAATAGGTTTGGCGGTGACTTGCCTACCTCCATTGCCAATCTGTCCACAAACCTCATCTATTTAAGCTTTCAAAAAAATCGCATCTCTGGAAACATTCCCCATGACATTGGGAATCTCATAAGCCTTCAATCACTTGGGTTGAACGAGAATTTGTTGACAGGACCACTCCCAACCTCTCTTGGTAAGCTTTTAGGATTGGGGGAACTAAGTGTTCATTCAAATAGAATGTCGGGAGAGATACCATCTTCTATAGGCAACATCACTATGTTACAAAGACTTTATTTGAACAACAATAGTTTTGAAGGAACTGTTCCTCCGAGTCTCGGTAATTCTAGGCAGCTGCTAGATTTACGGATGGGATATAATAAGTTGAATGGGACTATACCTAAAGAAATCATGCAAATCTCAACCCTTGTTAACCTAGGATTGTCAGCTAATTCATTGACCGGCTCTCTGCCAAATAATGTTGAAAGATTACAAAATCTTGTTGTGTTATCACTTGGTAATAACAAATTGTTCGGACGACTCCCAAAAACCTTGGGAAAATGTATCTCGTTGGAACAACTTTATCTGCAAGGAAATTCTTTTGACGGAGATATTCCAGATATAAGAGGGTTAATGGGTGTTAAAAGAGTTGATTTCTCAAACAATAATCTCTCTGGAAGTATACCTAGATATCTTGCAAACTTTTCCAAGCTGCAGTATCTCAATCTATCTTTTAACAATTTTGAGGGGAAAATGCCAACAGAAGGAATATATAAGAATATGACTATTGTCTCAGTATTTGGAAACAAAGATCTATGTGGAGGCATCAGGGAGTTGCAACTAAAGCCATGCCTCGTGGAAGCACCACCGATGGAGAGAAAACATTCCTCTCATTTGAAGAGAGTTGTGATCGGTGTCACCGTAGGCATAGCTTTGCTTTTGATATTGCTCATAGCTTCATTTGCTATATGGTTCAGAAAAAGAAAGAATAATCAGCAGACTAATAATCAAACTCCTTCCACTTTGGGTGCCTTCCATGAAAAGATAAGCTATGGAGATCTCCGAAACGCGACAGATGGCTTCTCTTCGAGCAATATGGTTGGGTCAGGAAGTTTTGGTACTGTGTTTAAGGCATTACTTCCAGCAGAGAAATATGTTGTTGGGGTGAAAGTTCTAAACATGCAAAAACATGGAGCGATGAAGAGCTTTATGGCAGAGTGTGAATCCCTCAAGGACGTAAGGCATCGTAATCTTGTGAAACTTTTGACGGCTTGTTCGAGTATTGATTTCCAAGGAAACGAATTCAGGGCTCTCATCTATGAGTTCATGCCGAATGGAAGCTTGGATATGTGGCTGCACCCAGAAGAAGTGGAAGAGATTCGTAGACCCTCAAGAACCTTGACACTTCTTGAAAGGCTCAACATTGCCATAGACGTGGCTTCAGTTTTAGACTATCTTCATGTTCATTGTCATGAGCCTATAGCTCATTGCGATCTTAAGCCAAGCAACGTCCTCCTAGACGATGATTTGACTGCTCATGTTAGTGATTTTGGTCTAGCTCGACTGCTCCTCAAATTCGACCAAGAGTCCTTCCTCAATCAACTCAGCTCCGCTGGCGTGAGAGGAACCATCGGTTATTGCGCACCAGGTAACTGTAACCAAACATATGTAAAATTGAATATAGGAATTTTATTTTATCACTTTAATCTTGTTTATGTGAATTATGGTGCAGAATATGGAATGGGAGGACAGCCATCAATACAAGGTGATGTGTATAGCTTTGGGGTTCTCCTTTTGGAAATGTTCACTGGAAAAAGACCAACTAATGAGCTATTTGGCGGAAACTTTACCCTACACAGCTACACCAAGTCTGCGTTGCCGGAAAGAGTATTGGATGTTGCGGACGAATCCATTCTTCACATCGGTCTCCGAGTCGGTTTTCCAATTGTTGAGTGCTTGAAATTTTTTTTCGAGGTGGGACTTATGTGCTGTGAAGAAGTTCCAAGCAACCGGCTGGCAATGAGTGAAGTTCTCAAGGAATTAATCTCAATCAGAGAGAGGTTCTTCAGAGCCAGAAGGACAGCTGGACGTTGAAGCGATTATGGTTTCCCCTATAAACTTCGCAGTCTTTGAAATAAAGGCTCACTCTGAGACCTATATAATATCGTCTTCATCATTTGGTTTTCATTTTTTGTCTATGCATACAAATTTATGGTGTGGAGAATATTGTCAAGCAATATGCTCTGTTATTTTGTAATCAAACTATGAAAGTTGTGTTTTGAGCTGTTTATAATTAATAATTCTCCACTTTTGCTACTAATAGTAGTTCCTAAGTTTATTAAGAGTTTCCCACCTTTTTAATTTTAATAATCCAAAGATGTTTGTGTGATTGTGTCTAATCGGATCGATTGCTTTTTTTTTTGCGTTAACTTTTTTTATTTTTTCCGTATGATGAATGGTTATTGTTAGTGCATTGATCAAAGCAACTTGAGAGTGGGTGGCATCTTAGGATGTGTGTTCCGATCAATAGTTGAATGGAGAATTTGGATACATGCGTGTTGTGCTTATTTGGATACATTGCTAAAAAACTTATGTAGAACCAAGTTGGTGTATGTATTGTTCTATCTAATTCAAATTTGGTTTGGATATATAATTTTGAATGTGAGTATATGACTCCTACTACAACTAAATGGTATTGCATGTCAAAATTATTTCCATTACCAAAAGATACTAAAAACACTATATGGTTATCAATATTACCAACATGGACAATACGCAAAAAAAATTCGTTTTGCTAAATTTATATTTTTTAACTTTTTTTTTTTTTTTTTTGTGCAAAATATTTTTTAACTTTAAATGATGTTTCTAAATAGTCTGCATTTTTAAACTGTACCTTAGCTTTAACTGTTTTTTTATAGCCGTTGAGATTTTTGTCTAGCCGAAAGTCCAGAGCCATTATGGGGATGATTAATCCTGGCAGCCACATATGAACTAGCAGCTGTTTTTCTATAGTCGTTGAGCGTTACTTGCCGTTTTTCAAACAACAAAAAATCGATGAATCCTTGTTGCTTAATTCTTTCCAAAAAATCTTTCCCAAGACGCTCCCGTATGCCTTATTTCAGATCATAATGTCCGGAGAGATTGATTACATTGCGCATATCGTGGACGAGAATTATAGGAGCCAAACTGTTCGTGCTGGAGAACCATTGTTGTTAGTTGGATTTTGTTCATTTCGTGTAGCAAACCATTCAATTAGGTTTTGCAATTCAGGTAGTTTTTACCGTTTCAATCGTTGAATTACTAGGTTTAGATGATGTAGCGAATGCTAACTGAGTACATTTGCTTGATCTTCAAGTTTGGTACTAAAGTGAACTTCTCATTGCGGGCAACCAATCTGCCTTTGTAAAAGACCGGTTATTGATTGAAAATCTGTTGTTGGCAACAGAACTAGTCAAGGACTACCACAAGGATTCTATATCGAGTAGATGTGCTATAAAAATTGACATCTCCAAAGCCTTTGATTCAGTTCAATGGCCGTTCCTCAGAAATGTTCTTTTATCTATGGATTTCCCCACAGAATTTGTTCATTGGATCATGTTGTGTGTCACCACAGCGTCGTTCTCAGTCCAAGTAAATGGCGAGTTAGCGGGTTTCTTTCAAAGTAAACGAGGGTTGAGACAAGGCTGTTTTCCTTGATGCAGAATCAGCCCCGGCTCACATGGGTGGGCGGAGGTGCGACGGCCTAAGGCTTTTTTTTTAATAAAAATTTTACATAGAAAAAAGGCCTAAATATGTTTTAAAAAAATTATTAGTATGAGAACTATATTTCAAAAGGCCTAATTCTTTATAAAAAAAATATAAAAAAGGCCCAAAATTTTAATATAACAATTTTTACTGTAAAGAATCTACAATTTTTTTTAGAAAATAGGTAAATTATTTTTTTATATATAATAATAGGCTAAAAAAATTTTTTTACCCTAAGGCTCTCAAATATATTGGGCCGGGGCTGTGCAGAATATGGAATGGGAGGACAGCCATCAATACAAGGTGATGTGTATAGCTTTGGGGTTCTCATTTTGGAAATGTTCACCGGGAAAAGACCAACCAATGAGTTATTTGGGGGAAACGTTACCCTACACAGCTACACCAAGTCAGCGTTGCCGGAAAGAGTTTTGGACATTGCAGACGAATCGATTCTTCACATGGGTCTCAGAGTCGGGTTTGTAAGTGCGGATGAGGTACGATAAATTGTAGAAAGTAAACGAGACAAGAAATTTGTTAACGAGGTTCGGTTTTTCCTACTCCCCAGATTTCGATTTCACTAGAACAAGAAAGCAAATTACAACCAATTCGCAAACGCGTAAAACAAGCCCAACCCTCTTGATTTACCGCTCCCTTCTATAACGTGAAACCTTAAGGATAATCTCTACCCTTAACTAAACTCCCCTTGAGTCTAGATTTAATCAGGATAACCTAACCCTGAGCTAAACTCCACTTGAGCCTAGACTTCAAAACAAAACCACTTGATCACACAAGCACAAAACCCGCAAAACTAAGTTGCACAAAACCGCGAAACTATGTCGCACACACCCTCAGAAAAGCTCTCAATGATTTGCCTCTATGCCTCAGCTCTCTTCCTTCTCAAAGACGTCCTCAGCTCCTCCTTATATAGCCAAAACGATTTCCTAATCACCATAGGAGAAGATTTCCAATTTCCATAAGAAAAAGTAAATTTCCTTTTATACTTTTCCTTTTTCTCACCAAACTCCACTTTCATCAAGTCTTCCAAATCTCTATAAGTCCTTTTTCCTTTGTGATTCATCCTCTAAACACGCTCCAAACATATCTTCTCAAACCTTCTAGAAACCGACACTCACACACAAACAGTCGCATCTTGACTTACTTCTTGAGTCATTCAGCAACTCCATCAGACAAACTCTTGTATTACTTCTTGACTCATTCAACAACTTAATCAGACTGCAGCTACATCTTCAATCTCCCCCTTTTTGACTATGTTTGTGAACTCAACAGTTCTAACTCCAAAACAACATCACGAAACACATCATCATTCTCCCCCTGAATGAGTCACAACATGGTCAAAACTACTTAGAAAATTCTCCCCGCTTTGCAATACGAGGTTGATAGCCTAGTACACCACCTCCATAGAAATCATCTTTCCTAACCCAAATCTTCCTGCGCCTTAAGCCTTCATGACTGGATTCTCGAATGAATCTGAAACAATTCCTCTTAATATGCCCTTGAACTCCACAATGATAACATGTAGGACCATGAAATCTCTTATCATAAGCATTCTCCATTCGATTTCTCTCCCTCAACAATCTGAAACACCTTGGCCTAATATGCCCAACAATACCACAATGATGGCAAACAGGTCGAAAAACTCGTTGAGGTGCACTCTGCAGTTCTTTAACTTTTCCTGTATCAGACTCTGTACCAGTTCTCGTAGTAGTTCTTGTACCGGATGCAGTCTCTGCCATAGTTGCAGTTTCTGACACACTTCCTGATCCAGACGTGATTTTTCCACCATAAACAAACACTGGATCTGATTTTGAAAGTTTTCCTTCAAATCCAAGGCCACACTTATCAATCTTGCCAATATTCAGAATATGATCCAACTTCTTTGTGCCATTATTAAGCATCCTCAAATTCTTTTGAGTTTCTTCAAGTTGTACTTTGGCTTGTGATGTTTCTTCTTCTTTTTCTGCAGCATATTTCTGTACTTCAATGACTTTAGCCTCTAACTTGAGTTTCTCCTTAGTTAACACAGAATTCTCCTCAACCATTTTAAGCCAATGCTCATATAAAACTCTGTAATTCTCAGCAAATTCTTCATCATCAATACTCTCTGCATCACTCTCGCATTCATCGTTTTCACTTTTAAGTGCAGGTCCTGTTGGAGACACTGATGCAGACCCTGTTGCAGATGCTGAAGCAGACCCTGTTGCAGATGCTGAAGCAGACCTTGTTGCAGACGCTGATGCAGAGACTGACGCAGAATCTGTATCTGAACTAGAATCGGAAGTTGTAAAAGCCACAAAATTCTTCAGATCTTCTTCTTCCTCATCTGAATCAGTTTCAGAATCACTAGTGACAACATTCATGGCCTTCTTCTTATGCTTTTGTAGATTGGCGCATTCCGAACGAACATGTCCATATCCTTTGCATTCAAAACATTGCATATTCTTTGATGAACTTCTCAACTCTTCATCAATTCTATCCTTCCTCTCTTTTCCCTTTCGTTTCAGATATTTAGTAAACTGTCTTGACAACATAGCCATTGAATCTTCAGTTGATGATCCTTTAAGAGCAACTCCAATGTCAACTTCCTTCTTCACTTCATCTACCTTCTTCATCTTTCCTTTAGCTTCATATGCTTTGCTTAACTCAAAAGCTTGAAGGATCCCAACAAACTCATCAAAAGCTATCTCATCTAGATTATGAGCTTCTTCAACTGCAGAAATCTTTGACTCAAATTTTGCAGGCAATGATCTCTTCAACTTCTTCACTAGCTTTTTGTCCTTGTAGACCTTTCCAAGAGCAAACGATTCATTAGATATGTCACATAACTTTGCACTAAATCAGCCACAGTTTCCTCTTCTTCCATCCTTAGATTCTCAAATTGCGAAGCCAACATATCCAATTTCGTTCTCTTAACGCTTGTAGTACCTTCAAACATATTCTCCAATGTCTTCCATGCTTTTTGAGCTGATGCACATTGAGAAATCAACTTAAAACGGCTTGAATCAATAGCATTGTAAATCGCAGTCTTAGCCTTAGAATTGCAACTTGATAGCTTTTTCTCTACAGCAGTCCACTTATCTCTTGGCTTGAGACTTACAACTCCATCATCATCCGTAACTTTAGGAGCCTCCCAACCAAGTTCAATTGAATTCCAACAATCTTCATCAAGATTACTAATAAAAGCTTGCATACGAACCTTCCAATATCCATAATTCGCTGAATCAAGAAGTGGTGGTCTTGTCATAGACGTACCTTCCTTGTATGACTCCATCTCACACGATTCTCAGCTCTGTCTTACTTTCTGAACGATCTCCTGAATAATATTCTAAACAATCTCCTGAACCTCACCCTGATCTACCCGAAACAAGACTAAATCTCTATCGAGAACCCGCTCTGATACCAATTGTAAGTGCGGATGAGGTACGATAAATTGTAGAAAGTAAACGAGACAAGAAATTTGTTAACGAGGTTCGGTTTTTCCTACTCCCCAGATTTCGATTTCACTAGAACAAGAAAGCAAATTACAACCAATTCGCAAACGCGTAAAACAAGCCCAACCCTCTTGATTTACCGCTCCCTTCTATAACGTGAAACTTTAAGGATAATCTCTACCCTTAACTAAAATCCCCTTGAGTCTAGATTTAATCAGGATAACCTAACCCTGAGCTAAACTCCACTTGAGCCTAGACTTCAAAACAAAACCACTTGATCACACAAGCACAGAACCCGCAAAACTAAGTTGCACAAAACCGCGAAACTATGTCGCACACACCCTCAGAAAAGCTCTCAATGATTTGCCTCTATGCCTCAGCTCTCTTCCTTCTCAAAGACGTCCTCAGCTCCTCCTTATATAGCCAAAACGATTTCCTAATCACCATAGGAGAAGATTTCCAATTTCCATAAGAAAAAGTAAATTTCCTTTTATACTTTTCCTTTTTCTCACCAAACTCCACTTTCATCAAGTCTTCCAAATCTCTTTAAGTCTTTTTTCCTTTGTGATTCATCCTCTAAACACGCTCCAAACATATCTTCTCAAACCTTCTAGAAACCGACACTCACACAAAAACAGTCGCATCTTGACTTACTTCTTGAGTCATTCAGCAACTCCATCAGACAAACTCTTGTATTACTTCTTGACTCATTCAACAACTTAATCAGACTGCAGCTACATCTTCAGGGTTCCGTATTGCTGAGTGCTTGACACTGATTTTGGAGGTGGGACTAAGGTGTTGTGAAGAATCTCCTACGAACCGATTGGCAACTAGTGAAGTTGTGAAGGAGTTGATCTCAATCAGAGAGAGGTTCTTCAAAGCCCGAAGAACAACAAGACTTTGAACTGTTTATGTTTTTCTCTACAAACTTTGCAACTTATGAAATAAAGGCTCACCCTGAGGCCTATATAATGTCACAATGTCGTCTTCGACTCTTCGTTAATATGTGGTTTTCTTTTTTTCTCTATGTATACATTTACATATGCTTTCAGAATATTTTCAAGATTTATGCTCTGTTATTTTGTAGACAAAAAACGAAAAGTTGTGTTTTGAGCTTTATAAATGATAATTCATCAATTTCGTTATTGGCTTGGTTTTAAATCATCAATTTAATTTTGAGTGGTGAAATCAAATTAAAGGAAATCACTGTGATTTAATTTTTTTTTTTTTTTTTTTTTGTCAAAGACTGTGATTTAATTTAGTTTTGGTTGAAACTATTATATTATATACTTCTCAAATTTCTATGTGTCTCTTCCTTAATTCAGGTGAAAAACAAAAGAAATATTTGACGTAGAAAATGTCAAAATTGTGCACATCCTTGGATAAACGAATTCGATAAGACCTATTTATTTGCTTTGCTCTTGAAATGTTTAAGTCTTGAGCTTCTCTATATGCTCTGTTTTTTTTTTTGGCCATTAGGTCTTGTCCCATTTTTCCTTTTGTGCAGTTGGTGTTTCCTCTTCTTTGCTACTTTGTTGTGGTTCGATTCAGTTTCACTTCCATAGGAAAAAAGTCATTTTCAGCAGGAAAAAAGATATATATACTAGCAGACATTTGATCTTGGTTAAAGTAACATGCTTGATCTGTTGATCACCTACTCTAAAAACGACTCCACGACGATGCTTATCACTTATAAGAGCTTGTTCGCAAAACGACCAAACACAAAAACGTGACTTGGGACGTTGGTAATTTGCTTAACAAAACTAGTCGTGGAGCCATGAATGCGGGTAGGCATGTGCATGGTTTTTTCAGTTAATTTCCACGTTTTGGTGAAAATAGGGTCCAAATAAAACCAAATTACAGTATATTTTGAATTGGTTTGTTTGAAAAATGTTGGTTCAGATTCGGGTTTATTTTGGTTTTAGATAAAATGTATAACAAAAATTAAAATAATTAATTGATTTTTAATTCATATTTTGGATTTTATTATATTTATCGTTTTCTCTATTTTATCCAAAAAATTTGGTTAAAAATAAGATAATTCGGTTAACTATCAAACCTATTTAAAACAATGAAAAAAAAAATCAGAACAGTCCATTTATTCCATAAATTCCACTATTCAGCCAATTAGTTTATTAAGCTCAACATTTATTAGAGAATCCAAAAGAAAAGTCAACGAGTTGGGTGTGAGACAGTGTGACATTAAAATATGTGTGATGTGGCTAAGGAAAAGCACCTCTACTTGGATCATGCTCGTTGTGAGCTTCACAGGCGCAAGTCAAACAAACACTCACATTTTCTTCTGCATTTAATTCACTACTTTTTTCTAAATTTTTGGCTTCTCCTATTAGTAGCTTTATTTTATTAGTTTTACATATTCTATGAACCACTAGATTTCGCCTCCTACATATACATCGGATACAAAACTAGCTTTTGCTCTTTATTTTTCTTGAAATAACATTTTTTTTTGGTTTTTACCTCACCAGTAGTAAAGAACCCATATCTGTATACAACTAAATTATATAGTACAGTTTAAAAGTCATCTAAATCTATATAATTAATGAGGAGAAATGAGTGTTCTACCTACTAATTGTGAAGTTTATGGAAACATAAAATCTGAACCCTAACCATATCAATACTAATTAAGTGACATGAATTTGTATAACCAAATGAGCCACAAGATAAAAATAACGTTACATTAATAAAGATGATGTACACTTTTGAGTTTCTACAACATTTCTAGAAGATATCATCTCCACGTCGACAAAGATAACCCAAAAAATAACATCTCCACACACAAAAAAAAAAAAAAAAAAAAGAAAAAAAAGAAAAATGTGTTAAATATACTACTCCTCCCTAATTACTGCCATACTATCATGATAAGGATTCAAACAAAACTAAAGAGTACTTAATTATACAAATTGTTTATAACTAAGCCTCGTCGTTCCTCAACCAATCGTCAAACTTTTTTGGTTTCTAGAACAACACTTCTTGACCCTCTAGTGACATGTTATTAATGATCATATCGTGGCTTTGCTCATCAAAGAGCCATTTCTCGAACAAAGAAAGAGAGCCTTGTGTAATTAGACCATTAATGTCATTGTCTATTAGTTTTGGCTTCTCTTCAGCTTCATCCATGGAGTTGAAGCTGAATAAAGAATGGTCAATTCCTTCTCCGTCTCCTTCGGTTGTGCTAGGGCTGGAAGCTGCCGTGGTGATAGCCATCCCGGTGGCTGCAACCGGCGAGGGCACCGAGGTCTTTGGTGTGTCTTTCATAAAATTCTGAAGCAAACGAGCGATGTTCTCTGCGCTTGAAGCATAGACGCCAGATGGGTATGGATTAATGTTTCTTGTGGTGGTGGTGGTGGTGGTAGAGGAAGAAGAAGATGATGGACCATAACCAAGATCGGTAATAGAGAAATTAGATGGGTTTTGTGGTTTGTCAAGAGACAAGGCATCACAAAGAGCTTGTTTAGCCATGTTGATATCTGTCTGAAGCCTTCTCTCCCATTGACCTTTGCTGGAGTTGTTGCTTTGATGTGAAGTAGTGTTTTTGTTTGATGAAGAGAAGTCTTTATCATCAAGGCCATTGTTGATAGTACTATCACAAGAATCATTCATCTTCTTGAGCTTTTTCTTCAAATGAGTGTTCCAATAGTTCTTTATATCATTGTCTGTCCTTTCTGGAAGGTATGATGCTATAGCTGCCCACCTTCATAAATTATTTGGTCCCCAAGTTATTTAAAGTCCAAAACCTTATCTTTTATACATACCCAAAAACATAATGTTTGCATACTTTTATAGATCATGTGCATGTGAATATTTACCTGTTTCCCAAAAGAGCTTGAAGATGGAGAATCATCTTCTCTTCATGCTCGGTGAAATTTCCACGCTTAATCCCAGGTCGAAGATAATTAGTCCACCTCAATCTACAGCTTTTGCTACATCTCCTTAAACCTAAATCACCACAACAATAAAAAGATAATTTCATTAAAAAGAGTAATTAATTTGTGATATGTGGACAAAAAAGCTGGTGCCATAAATCGGATATTATTACAATTTTTCCTTTTCATTAAATGATCATACCAACCAAAAGGAAGCCAGAACAAAAGAATCACAAACCCAAGAAAAAAAAAACAAAAAACATTAAAGGGTACTTCTGAATATAGGGTTTAACAATTGAAATTAAAAATATTATTTGTTCATAAAAAAACATATAATATTAAGATAGAAGAAGAGATACCTGTATGAGTAGGCACAGATCTCCAGTTTCCAGGACCATGTTCTTGGATGTAAGAAACCAAGATGATATCTTCCTCTGGTGTCCATGGCCCTTTCTTCACTCCAATCTTGTCACAGCATGGTGGTCTTCCCATCTCAATCTTCTCTATGTATATATCACTTTGTAATTAGGGGAAGAATGGAACGGTTTGTGGTATGAGCAGAGAGAAGGGCTTTGATGATGATCGGATATATATATATATATATATATATATATATATATATAGATGAAGAAAAAGTTAAATCTTTTTTTTTGGCTTGAGAGCTTAGGAAATTGTAGGGTTAAGAGTACTTAAGACAAAGAGGTACAAATGGTAGGTGGTTTTGTCTGAAGATGTGGAGAGAGAGCTTGTGTATTTATAAAGCGAGAGAGAGAGAGGGAGAGAGAGATTTAAGCTGAAGAGTGAATTAGTAGCAATAATAATAGAGTTAAAAGTAACAATAATGAAGAGTGGGGTTTTGCAATCAAAGAGTCAACATGGACAGCCAAATGCATTTACTCTCTAGCTCTTCAAGTCAGCCTCCTCTCTCTCTCTCTCTCTTTCTCCACCATTACTCCATGCTTTCTCTCTCTCTATTAGCCTACAATTTTCTCTTTGTAATTAGTTCTTTCATATTATCGCAAAATAAACCTTAATTTTGTCTCCACATGAGAACATATGTGCATGTATCATTTTTTTAGGTGTTCAATCTGATTGGGTTTAGAAAGACTTTGATAGCATTAATGGGTCCACAATGAGAGTGAAATGAGTATATAACTTCTATTTATGTAATTAAAACCTTCTAATTATACATTCGGAAAACATACACATAAATTAAATAGTTTATAAGGATTCGTTTTTTTTGGTGAGAATAGTTTATAAGGATTCTTATAATGTTAATTTGTAAATTTAGGTTTCCACTTCCATGCATATATATAATAATGTCATTTCCTTCTCAACTGGTTTTAATACTAATTTTAATTTCTAGTTATTGAGCACCAGGAACCGTAATTTAAACTAATTATATGCCTCTCAAAAACTCTTGATATTTCATGAGTACTTATGTTGTACATAGCATATGAAAATTATTACATGATCTAAAAATATGAAAATATATAAAAATAGTAAACCACTTAATAAATGGTTTAGTTTAGTTAAATCTTAGTTGATATGCAATCGAAATTGACTGAACTGAACTAAATCAAATTAAACCAAATATTTTGGTATCAATCTCTTCAAATTCTCATGAACAAACAATATGTAACATGTATAAACCATACCAAACCGAATTAAAAATAAACTTTTTCCTATTATCAATTAAATATGGACATCAGAGAAAAAAATGGACATCAGAAAAACACCGAATAAGTGGCAAACTTTATGATATAGTATATGTTAAAATAGCTAAACTTGAATTGATGAGAATTTAGTCGAACATGTACAAATGTTCATTAGTGGTGTGACTTGTGACTTGTGAGCTTTTGTAGGTATTGAATTGAACGGTGGATAAAAGATAATCGTAACAAATATATATATCCCCACATTCCCAATAAGGAAAATGTCCACACATATAGATCTTTTGGTGATGTTGGACCTGTTGGTCATATTTAGATCGATAAACTTTTTTTTTTGTAAAATAATAATGATTGTTTTTCTAAACACTAAGGATTGGTTTTAAAATCATATAGAGAATTCAAAAAAAATTCAAGAAACGAGAGGAATGTTGCAAAGCGCGTCGTCGTTGTGTATTGTGCTTTTAAATTGGATAGGAAATATTCATACGTATGTAAATAATACTCCATAGAATATAAAATACAAAACTAAAAATCGAGATACTACCATAGATACAAATTTCAACGGGCCGTAGAAACTTTCATTGAACTAAATAGGTTGAAACCCCATACGCCACGTCTTTTTTTTGTATTACGTAACCCATATCCCGAGGATGATGGTATTAAAACTTTACTTTGACTAAAATCGTCACATAGGCACCTATAAAATAAAGGGTTCTTACTTTTATTGTAATATATCAGAAATGGAATATGTATATTTCAAAATTGTTATACGTTGTTGGTATCGTTTATATAATTGATTAGAATTCAACAGCAAACTTCTTGTCTGGTACTCTGGTTCTTGAGGTTAAGATTATACTTTTAGTTTTGCCGATGATACCATCGGCTAAGTATCAATGCTATGCGTTAATTTCTTTAAAATATATAAAATGTAATTTATAAGGTAACCATTTTGTAAAATCCTTCTATGATCCCAAATGTTATATTTTTTCCCTGTGTTATTTCTTCTTTTCGAGATCTTTCTACGTTACGATCAATTTGTTTGATTTTTTTAATCAGTCTTGACATCTTATATTGATTAATTCATCATTCATTTGTTAAAATATTTGAAATGAATAGTAAATATGAGATGAATAAGTTTTGTAGCAACTCAAAATATTAAATAATTAAGGTATTTGAAATGTTAATTACGATAGCTGGTACAAGATAAAAAATCATATTTAAGTTTTTTTTTTGTTTTGAAGATAAGAAAATATTTGAGTTGATATAGTATATGCTTAGATAGATATCAGCAAATGAGAGCACTCATTCATCAACTGAATTGATAACAATATATATATATATATATATATATATATATATATGTCTTCATTTCACTCGAAATCTTAGTAGGGTTTGATGTGAAGAAATATACCAAGAGATCAGAGGCCTCATCATCGTTTATTCAGATGAGTAATATTGATTGCTTTGAATTCTTAGCATTCGATCAAAAAAAAATTTAAAGGAAATTAAAAGAAAGGCGTAGAAACAATACTTCGGTTCATCGATAATGTTTTTACAATGTATTTAGTAATGACATATATGCATATTTGGCTAACAACGTGAATAGACCGAGAAGAGAGAATTATCAGGTAATGTAATAGCCAGTATACATCTTTTTAGTATACAACTAATTAAATTGTACTTATATCAACTCAAAAAAAAATTAGACATGTAGACATGTATTGACAGCTCAAAATTTCTTGGTTGTGATATATTTTCGGGAAAATTCATTACAAACCCTTAAAACGGCATTTTAACAAAACAAAATAAAATCATATTTTTGTATGTAATGAATAGATTAGTAGTACAATTGTAAATTTAACATTTTTACCGTAGTTTTAATACACTTTCGTTTGATGGTTAATGTACATCATAGCTTTGATAAATTATAGCAGTAAAATCACAAAAAGTAAAAAACAATTTGTCATCTACCACAAATACTATATATGTTGACTAAATTGTCTAGTAGTGGAATTAATATATATAATATCGATCTCTGCATCGTTAGTTAAGGTCTAGCTAGCTAGGGTTTAGTTTGAATCTCTCGATCAAGATTGAAAGTTCTCCGATGTTTCTAAACAGTTTCTAGAACAGATATATTTACGAGTGAGTATAAGTCAACGACTATGGTCATCTTTTGGATCTCGACGTGCTTTGGATCATATCTTAATTTATACACTATCCAATTAAATATTTGCTAGGTTAAAACCTAGGCTTAATATTTTACCCCTCAAACTGTCAAATTGGAATGATAGGCACGTGTCAAATTGTGCAGAAAATAATACAACCTGCAGTAAAATAATAATCAAGTAAGATTAATTGGACCATCATTAAATGATATGCATGATACAATGATAAAGAAGTATATATATAACTCATAGACCATATAGGTCTCGTAGTAATCCAAGCTGATGTAATTGTCACGGAACAACCTTAAGGTTCCTTGATAAATATCTTCTGCGGTAATTTGGGTAGAGTGTTGAAAAAAAAATTAAGTTAGAGATGAAGTCCTGACCTAATTAAATTGTATATGTAATTTTTCAAATTATTAACCAAATAAAAAAAGTCTAGCACTACTGTTTGAAAAGGAATTTATTTAAATCATTTACAACTTAAAAATTTAGCAAATAATTTGTAAATAGAACCGAAGGCCAACTTTAAATAACGGTGCGAAGCTATACAAATGCATACAAAAACGGTTAAAACATTATAATTGCCTATGTTTTGTTGTACAATAGAATTTCATATACTTAAATATAGGTCTCAGATCATGTAAATTAGCGGTCAAAATCTTATATACATTCGATTGATGTGTAATTTTATTTTGTGTTGTTAATAGCATGAACGTATATGAATTTGAATTTCATCGAGCGTACTAAACGTAAACAATTAAGCTATAAATAATGGTCATAAACAATATGTATAACACCAGATATGTGTAACACCAGGTAGCACCATACTGCTCTCCTTTTGGTCTAAGAAACAATACGCGTGTATAGTTATTACAATGAACCTTTGATTTCGGCCGGTTACATCTCTAAACCCATGATCGCGGAAAATCATATAATATTAGTCCATGTTGTCAAAATTAGGTCTGGACAAAATATCCGGAACCGAATATCCGAACCAAAAAACCCAAAAAATACCCAAAACGAACCCGAACCCGATTTTTAAAAATACCCGAATGGGTCCTAACCTCCTACCCGAAAAAAATCCGAACCGAATCCAATACCCGAATGTACCCGAATGTACCCGAATACAAATATACACCTAAAAATATTAGTTATATTTATATTTATAATACCCGAAATACCTAAAATTACAATCATAAATCCGAATATATTAGGTATTTTTGAGTAATTCGGATACATTTGGATATATTTGGTTAAAAAGTAACTAATGATGTAGGTATCTTTTGGGTAATTTTAGTATTTTTAGATATTTTTGGTTATATTTGGATAAAGAGTAACCAATGTATTTTTGAGAAATCGGGTATTTCGGTTAAATTTGGGTATATATGAGTTAAAAACCCGAATCCGACCCGAACCCGAAAATATTTTGGGTATTTTTGGTTATTTTTGGGTATTTTGCTTTTTTATTAAAATACCCGAACCGAACCCGAACCCGAACCGAACCCGAACCAAATTTTTAGAATACCCGAATGGGTCTTGACCCCTTACCCAAATAGATCCGATATCCGGAAAAAAAGAACCGAACCCGAACGGGTACCCGAATGGGTACCCGAATGCCCAGGCCTAGTCAAAATCATCAATTAAGAATATCTTTTAATTTTAAGGAAACTTTTAGATATATGTTATGTTCGAATCCAAGTTGCTCTCTTTATTGTTTTGAAATAGGTTTAAGTCAAAATCGTTAAAAAGAAGATATTTAAGATATTTAAACGTGATCTCCTTAGGGGCCTAAGCTAATTTATTTGTATGCTATGCACGAAATATCATAGTTAACTATAAATAACTAGATATTTTAAACTCTGGATTGTAATAAGTAAAACCCCTATAAATTATAGGTTTATTACTTATTGTGAGTGGAGAAGACTTAGCATACACTTTCTTCCGGAATCTAGTGAGCTGTTTCTTCTAGCCACTTGCTAATGAAATTTTATTTTTGACTTTACATCTTAAGAAAATAACTTACAGTAAAAACAATGTATTGATATTCTAAACTATTCAGCATCCATTTAATTTGAATAATTATTAACTTAT